GCTTGGCGTGACCAGTGTGGTGGCATTGGGGTTTAAGGTGAGGATATACTGGCCGTCAGTGATGTACATAATGCTTGGCGTGACCAGTGTGGTGGCATTGGGGTTTAAGGTGAGGATATACTGGCCGTCAGTGATGTACATAATGCTTGGCGTGACCAGTGTGGTGGCATTGGGGTTTAAGGTGAGGATATACTGGCCGTCAGTGATGTACATAATGCTTGGCGTGACCAGTGTGGTGGCATTGGGGTTTAAGGTGAGGATATACTGGCTGTCAGTGATGTACATAATGCTTGGCGTGACCAGTGTGGTGGCATTGGGGTTTAAGGTGAGGATATACTGGCCGTCAGTGATGTACATAATGCTTGGCGTGACCAGTGTGGTGGCATTGGGGTTTAAGGTGAGGATATACTGGCCGTCAGTGATGTACATAATGCTTGGCGTGACCAGTGTGGTGGCATTGGGGTTTAAGGTGAGGATATACTGGCCGTCAGTGATGTACATAATGCTTGGCGTGACCAGTGTGGTGGCATTGGGGTTTAAGGTGAGGGTTTAATGGCCGTCAGTGATGTACATAATGCTTGGCGTGACCAGTGTGGTGGCAATGGGGTTTAAGGTGAGGATATACTGGCCGTCAGTGATGTACATAATGCTTGGCGTGACCAGTGTGGTGGCAATGGGGTTTAAGGTGAGGATATACTGGCCGTCAGTGATGTACATAATGCTTGGCGTGACCAGTGTGGTGGCAATGGGGTTTAAGGTGAGGATATACTGGCTGTCAGTGATGTACATAATGCTTGGCGTGACCAGTGTGGTGGCATTGGGGTTTAAGGTGAGGATATACTGGCCGTCAGTGATGTACATAATGCTTGGCGTGACCAGTGTGGTGGCAATGGGGTTTAAGGTGAGGATATACTGGCCGTCAGTGATGTACATAATGCTTGGCGTGACCAGTGTGGTGGCATTGGGGTTTAAGGTGAGGATATACTGGCCGTCAGTGATGTACATAATGCTTGGCATGACCAGTGTGGTGGCATTGGGGTTTAAGGTGAGGATATACTGGCCGTCAGTGATGTACATAATGCTTGGCGTGACCAGTGTGGTGGCATTGGGGTTTAAGGTGAGGATATACTGGCCGTCAGTGATGTACATAATGCTTGGCATGACCAGTGTGGTGGCATTGGGGTTTAAGGTGAGGATATACTGGCCGTCAGTGATGTACATAATGCTTGGCGTGACCAGTGTGGTGGCATTGGGGTTTAAGGTGAGGATATACTGGCCGTCAGTGATGTACATAATGCTTGGCATGACCAGTGTGGTGGCATTGGGGTTTAAGGTGAGGATATACTGGCCGTCAGTGATGTACATAATGCTTGGCGTGACCAGTGTGGTGGCATTGGGGTTTAAGGTGAGGATATACTGGCCGTCAGTGATGTACATAATGCTTGGCGTGACCAGTGTGGTGGCATTGGGGTTTAAGGTGAGGATATACTGGCCGTCAGTGATGTACATAATGCTTGGCGTGACCAGTGTGGTGGCATTGGGGTTTAAGGTGAGGATATACTGGCCGTCAGTGATGTACATAATGCTTGGCGTGACCAGTGTGGTGGCATTGGGGTTTAAGGTGAGGATATACTGGCCGTCAGTGATGTACATAATGCTTGGCGTGACCAGTGTGGTGGCATTGGGGTTTAAGGTGAGGATATACTGGCCGTCAGTGATGTACATAATGCTTGGCGTGACCAGTGTGGTGGCATTGGGGTTTAAGGTGAGGATATACTGGCCGTCAGTGATGTACATAATGCTTGGCGTGACCAGTGTGGTGGCATTGGGGTTTAAGGTGAGGATATACTGGCTGTCAGTGATGTACATAATGCTTGGCGTGACCAGTGTGGTGGCATTTGGGTTTAAGGTGAGGATATACTGGCCGTCAGTGATGTACATAATGCTTGGCGTGACCAGTGTGGTGGCATTGGGGTTTAAGGTGAGGATATACTGGCCGTCAGTGATGTACATAATGCTTGGCGTGACCAGTGTGGTGGCATTGGGGTTTAAGGTGAGGATATACTGGCCGTCAGTGATGTACATAATGCTTGGCGTGACCAGTGTGGTGGCATTGGGGTTTAAGGTGAGGGTTTAATGGCCGTCAGTGATGTACATAATGCTTGGCGTGACCAGTGTGGTGGCAATGGGGTTTAAGGTGAGGATATACTGGCCGTCAGTGATGTACATAATGCTTGGCGTGACCAGTGTGGTGGCAATGGGGTTTAAGGTGAGGATATACTGGCTGTCAGTGATGTACATAATGCTTGGCGTGACCAGTGTGGTGGCATTGGGGTTTAAGGTGAGGATATACTGGCCGTCAGTGATGTACATAATGCTTGGCATGACCAGTGTGGTGGCAATGGGGTTTAAGGTGAGGATATACTGGCCGTCAGTGATGTACATAATGCTTGGCGTGACCAGTGTGGTGGCATTGGGGTTTAAGGTGAGGATATACTGGACGTCAGTGATGTACATAATGCTTGGCGTGACCAGTGTGGTGGCATTGGGGTTTAAGGTAAGGATATACTGGCCATCAGTGATGTACATAATGCTTGGCGTGACCAGTGTGGTGGCATTGGGGTTTAAGGTGAGGATATACTGGCCGTCAGTGATGTACATAATGCTTGGCGTGACCAGTGTGGTGGCATTGGGGTTTAAGGTGAGGATATACTGGACGTCAGTGATGTACATGATGCTTGGCGTGACCAGTGTGGTGGCATTGGGGTTTAAGGTGAGGATATACTGGCCGTCAGTGATGTACATTATGCTTGGCGTGACCAGTGTGGTGGCATTGGGGTTTAAGGTGAGGATATACTGGCCGTCAGTGATGTACATAATGCTTGGCGTGACCAGTGTGGTGGCATTGGGGTTTAAGGTGAGGATATACTGGACGTCAGTGATGTACATAATGCTTGGCGTGACCAGTGTGGTGGCATTGGGGTTTAAGGTGAGGATATACTGGACGTCAGTGATGTACATAATGCTTGGCATGACAAGTGTGGTGGCATTGGGGTTTAAGGTGAGGATATACTGGCCGTCAGTGATGTACATAATGCTTGGCGTGACCAGTGTGGTGGCAATGGGGTTTAAGGTGAGGATATACTGGCCGTCAGTGATGTACATAATGCTTGGCGTGACCAGTGTGGTGGCAATGGGGTTTAAGGTGAGGATATACTGGCCGTCAGTGATGTACATAATGCTTGGCGTGACCAGTGTGGTGGCAATGGGGTTTAAGGTGAGGATATACTGGCCGTCAGTGATGTACATAATGCTTGGCGTGACCAGTGTGGTGGCAATGGGGTTTAAGGTGAGGATATACTGGCCGTCAGTGATGTACATAATGCTTGGCGTGACCAGTGTGGTGGCATTGGGGTTTAAGGTGAGGATATACTGGACGTCAGTGATGTACATAATGCTTGGCGTGACCAGTGTGGTGGCACTGGGGTTAAAGGTGAGGATATACTGGCCGTCAGTGATGTACATAATGCTTGGCGTGACCAGTGTGGTGGCAATGGGGTTTAAGGTGAGGATATACTGGCCGTCAGTGATGTAATAATGCTTGGCGTGACCAGTGTGGTGGCAATGGGGTTTAAGGTGAGGATATACTGGCCGTCAGTGATGTACATAATGCTTGGCGTGACCAGTGTGGTGGCAATGGGGTTTAAGGTGAGGATATACTGGCCGTCAGTGATGTACATAATGCTTGGCGTGACCAGTGTGGTGGCAATGGGGTTTAAGGTGAGGATATACTGGCCGTCAGTGATGTACATAATGCTTGGCGTGACCAGTGTGGTGGCATTGGGGTTTAAGGTAAGGATATACTGGACGTCAGTGATGTACATAATGCTTGGCGTGACCAGTGTGGTGGCAATGGGGTTTAAGGTGAGGATATACTGGCCGTCAGTGATGTACATAATGCTTGGCGTGACCAGTGTGGTGGCAATGGGGTTTAAGGTGAGGATATACTGGCCGTCAGTGATGTACATAATGCTTGGCGTGACCAGTGTGGTGGCAATGGGGTTTAAGGTGAGGATATACTGGCCGTCAGTGATGTACATAATGCTTGGCGTGACCAGTGTGGTGGCATTGGGGTTTAAGGTGAGGATATACTGGCCGTCTGGCCGTCAGTGATAAATAAATAAGCCTCCAACAAGAAGGGTATCACCAAAGGGGTAAATGTCTGAGACCTCACTCACTCACTCACCCACCCACCAACCCACCCACCCACCCACCCACTCACCCACCCACCCACTCACTCACTCACCCACCCACCCACCCACTCACTCACTCACTCACTCTCTCAGCCAGCCACCCACCCACCCACCCACTCACTCACTCACTCACTCTATCAGCCACCCACTCAGTCACACTCACCCACCCATCCACCACCCCACTCACTCACTCTCACCTGCTGTGCAGAGTTGTGTCCCTTGGGCACACCAGAAATCTATGATTGTGGGTTCAAATCCCAGTTTGTCAAATCCATGCTCGTGGGTATGGTGCTGACCCAAGCAGTGTAAATTACAAAGAAAGTCTTTGTTTTCATCACTTATTTATAAATATTGAAGTGTTTGATTTTATTTGCTTTTCTAATGGACAAAAGGTTTTGTTAAAATAGACAGACACAGGTTGGTTCTTGATATATGCAATTGTTGACACAATACACTTCAGGCACTCGCACGTGTTGTCACTTACTGCCTGCTTAAAGCAATACAAGATGGCTGCCGCAAAGTCATTCCCAAAACATGTAGGGCAGTTTCGTATTCGAGGGGAAGTTTCGCATCCACATATTAACAGGTTTTGAGAGAAACAATATCTGTAAACCAAAAAATAGAAGGGTCTCTATACATCATCACTGGAGGTTCCAGGGATGGGGGTGGGATTTGACACCCCCTCATCTTAAAAACTTCCTGCGAAACACCTTTCACTCACTGCTGTTTTTCATCCATGTTTTACAGAAGGTTGCAGCAGGCAGTGAGTCGAGCTTCCACGAGTTCGTCACATACAGCAAGAGTAAGGCTCCTCCCATCAATACGCCCTGGTTAAACAGGTCCCTGGAAGTGAACTCCTTTGACGGTACAGATCCGACAACGTTGCTGGAGTCTTCCGCAGACGGTGGGGCTGGTGATACCTCTGCCGTCACAGATGATGTGTCCAAAGACAGAAGTAGTCGGGAGAATTCACAGTGTGAAACTGACCTCGTATCCCTCCAAGACAGTTTGCTCACTCCAGTGATGTCCAGTGGGTTTATTTCACTTGAGTCCGACTCAGACAGAAAACTGTTGGAAGATTCAAAGAATAAGTCCCAAGCTAAAAACTTTGCAGATAATTTAGAGACAGGTTTTTTGTCTTTGTCACCAGACTCCCACAATGATCCAGATGAAGATGCAAGTCCATCACAATCTCAGCTTTCATTCTCTTCAAAAGAGGCTGGGAAATCCCCGACCAAAACATCTGCTGATAAAGAGGCTGGGAAATCCCCAACTAAAAACACTGCCCATAAAGAGGCTGGGAAATCTCCAACTAAAATCACTGCCCATAAAGAGGCTGGGAAATCCCCAACTAAAAGCACTGCCGATAAAGAGGCTGGGAAATCCCCAACTAAAATCAGTGCCCATAAAGAGGGTTGGAAATCCCCAACTAAAAACACTGCCGATAAAGAGGGTGGGAAGTCCCCAACTAAAAACACTGACGATAAAGAGGCTGGGAAAGGTGTACGTTTTGTCTTTCCCGTTGACGGACCTCCACCGTTTGTTCCAAAGAAGGACTACTCACATTTATATGTGTATAAGAGTGGTGGTTCATTTGGGGATAACTTTATCCCTCTCTCGGGCTCAAAGGGCCATAAACGCGTCCTCTCACCACAACGCTCCACATCCGAGTCCGAGTCTGCTGATGAGGAAGTGCTTGGCATTCTGGGAATGGAACAGCCAGTAGCCAAGAAACCGAAACATTCCTCAAATGTCGACAAATCGGGATCCTATCGACCTGCCGTTGTTCGGACAATGATTCCGAATTTGAATAAGAAAAGGAAAAGGAAGAGATAGTGTATGGATATTGTGTCCCAAGAATAAAAGCTCAATAATCTGTTTCTGCTCGTTTGCGTTTTATTCAATATGAATTCTTGTGTTCAGAAAAAATTATTAAATACAGTAATGAATGTGGTTATTGTATATCTATGTTTCAAATTTGATAAATTTATTGGACCAGGATGCAACTTGGTTTGGTTTGGTGCGACTTGCGTTTCATGTCAACATGCGCCTGGTGCAAGATGGAGTTCTGTAAGTCGAGCCCTGCTAGTTTTGTCTATACAGTATGATTGAACAGATTTAACTGTGTCTTGGGTATATTTTTAGATGCAAGACATGTAAAATCAAAAATAATTACTGAGGGATTCTTTGACGAAGAACTTGAAATCATACTCGCATTCTGATTGGTTTGTCGTATTTTCGCACATAACATACATCGATAGGGGGATGAGTCTTCTTGCAGGTTACGGAAAGGGGCGAGTAGTGTCGAATGTAAAATATGGTGGCTAAAATGACTAAATTCTGTGGTAAATTCAGCAGTAAGAACCATTTCTCCCTCAAAAATTTATGAAAACTACTTTTTCGAAAAATAGAAATGAAATAACTCCCCAAACTGTCACTATAAACACTTATCACTGGATAAGACCATACAATTATGCAAACAAATATGCATGGTGTCACCAATATTTCTTTTGGGTTAGATGTGAACATTGTTTATGTAGTCATAATATATGTACCACAAGAATGTGTAAAATTGAGAATTATTTATTTCAAATTTCCTTTTATTGCAGAATTAATATTTGGTATGTTGTTAGGAAAAGGATAAATAATGCTTGCAAATAATGAAAATTGGTGTATTGACTGTTAAAAATGGCAAATGCCCGAACTGTCTGCAATTCTGCGGCGAGTTACATTTTCTGCAAATCTTTCCGCAAATTGCAGAATTCGTCTGGAACTGCATTTATCTCCCTACTATCATGAGAGAATCATATTTTAAAAGAAAACAAAAGCGTATGTTACTTTTAGATTTATTCACTTGTAAAACGGACAATTTAATTGTCAACATGTTTTAATTCAACACAGCTTTTGATCAAAATGGACACTGTCCTGGTCACCACAAACATTCACGGGGGATCATCCAAGCATTTGCCCAACATCAACTCAGGAGAAATAACTGCAACTTGTTCGAACGAGACATTATGGCTTCTTTGCTGCCAACGTACATACTCAAAGCTCCAGACCATTACGCAACGATGATTTAAACATGAAACAGAAAAACAGCTACCATCTTCACTGACTTGATTTTTCACAATGTCAAAAGATGCACACTCAGCACGTCTTCTCATGTATTAGTGAGTTAATATTTAACGTCACATCGGCAATATTTCAGCCATTTCGTGAATTAAAGTCAAGATTTTTTTACGACTTTAAACATCCTCAATTATCAAGTGTATTCCGCCCCCATTCTACACTGAACTAAAAAAAAAGTTAGAAATAAACATTTAGGGGGATATTTTTATGAAATTGTGTATTCAGTCTTCACTACAAAATATTTATGATCCCTAACGTTTTGGGTTCGGTATATTCTGATATTCTTTTGTTTGTTTGCTGTTTAACGCCACACTCAGCAATATTCCAGCTACATGACAGCGGTCTGTAAATAATCGAGTCTGGACCAGACAATCCAGTGATTGATATCATGAGCATTGATCCACGCATTTGGGATCGATGACATGCTTCAACCAAGTCAGCGAACATGACCACCCGATCCTCTTAGTCGCCTTTTACGACAAGCACGGTTGCTTTTTACGACAAGCATAGTCGCCTCTTACGACAAGCAATGACGCCTCTTACGACAAGCATAGTCACCTTGAATGTATGCTACCCAACTTTCAACAGACTGAATTCATACAGCTGGTAAAAAGTAAAGCACCGCACCTTATTTTCATATTTCTTGAATCATGTATTGTTTGGAAATATATCAATGACATTGAGATAATTTAGATAAACATCTAATACATGCTTAAGGTAAGAGATACCTGCTGAAAACATGGCTCAAGAACACTACCTCCATAGGATGCAGATGAAACAGAACTACGGAATCACTCCTGCCACTGAGCAGTTACAAAACAGGTCATTAGATTTCGGTTTCTCTATATCAATGTGTCACCTTATAAACAAAAACACATGTATTTTGTCAGAAAATTACTAAATGATAAAGTGAGAATGGTTTTATGCTGCTTTTAGCAATATTCCCTCAGTGTCATGGCAGGCAACATCAGAAATAGGCTTCGCAAATTTCACCCATGTGGGGAATCGAACCAGGGTCTTTTGCGTGAAGAGCGAACACTTTAACCACTAGGTTACCCGATATGATTTATATAAATATATACCATTTTACATGGAAGTATATATACTGAACCCAAAATGTCTGGGATCATGAATATTTTAAAGGATCTTTTTTTAAATTGTGTCGTCTTCACTACAAAACCATATCCCCAAAATATTCAGGATCCCGGACTTTCTTGTACAGTACAGTAGTGAGTGAGTGAGTTGGGTTTAACGATGCTTTTAACATTATTCCAGTTATATCGCGGCATGTGGGAGGAAAGCCCCAAGTGATGCAGGTCTGACGTTGACCACTTCGGTAGAACCCACGAGCACGGGTATGGTGCTGACAAACCTAGAAACATAATCGGGGCGAACCGGGATTCGAACCCACAATCATAGGTTTCTGGCGCGCGCAAGGGCCGCACCTCTGCACAGCAAATCGCAGCGCCTTAGACGACTGGGCCACCCGTGCCCCCATAGAGTACAGTAAGCAGTTCTTACCATTGTTCCAGGGTAATGCTATCTAACCGTGACCCACCATGAGACGAGGGACCTTCTGGTGAACAATCAAAATTTGCCTTCTCACTACAGTATGCTAGGACCCCAAAAATAAAATTCATAACCATGATAACCTTCCATTCATATTTATTACAGAGATACATGACATTAAACATTTGGGCTCATTTTTTTGCAAAGTCCCATTTTCAGACTTGTAACTGATTATGTAATGATTCCAGTTTTCAGACATAACATCTGATTTATTGAAAATAGACGTGTATGCTGAAATGTTTTGAAATAATGTTTTTATTACATTACGAGCTGATGAGAGAAGAATAACATTATTGTAGTCTGCACACATGGCGATTTATACGGAAGTAAGTTGACAAACGTCCTCATGACGTGACGACACAATTGTATCCCAGTACCATGAGGTCCCTTTAATCCTGGTGGGTCACGTTTGTCATTGTTGAATGTATAAAAAGAAGCAAAATGTCCATCATGAACCCATCATAACAACAACTATAATCATAATGGTTGACTCCGTGACTTCCTAATGTGTCCATGAGTGGCTGAGTGAGTTGGGTTTAACACTGCGGCGTGTCAGCTTAATGTGGGAGGAAAGCCCAAAGTGATACAGGTCTCAGACGTTTACCACTTCGGTGAAAACCACGAGCACGGGTATGGTGCTGACAAACCTAGAAACATAATCGGGAGTGGGATTCGAACCAACAATCATAGGTTTCTGGCGCGCCCAAGGGCCGCATCTCTGCACAGCGAATCGCGGCGCCTTAACCTCCACTCAGATTGTCCAGCCAACGGTTTGAATGTTTGGAACAACACACACAATGGGAAATGGTTAGCACTTTGGATGCACAAGTATTCACAAACACAAATTGTAAGGAAGCCTTCAACTACAAATGTGATCTGAATTTGAAAATGAGACTGGGAAGACTCGGTGTTTGTGAGTGATTGAGTGAGTGAGTGAGTGAGTTGGGTTTAATGCCACTTTGACCATTGTGTAATGTAAGTGCATGCCAGCGTATTAGGTGATTGGGCCCGGCAATGACAGCAAATGAGAAAGGTTTGCCCTAAACATGAAAGATGAGTGAGTGAGTGAGTTGGGTTTAACGCCGCTTTTAACAGTATTCCAGTTATATCGCAGCCTGACAGCTTAACGTGGGAGGAAAGCCCGAAGTGAAGCAGGTCTCGGACGTTTACCACTTCGGTGAAACCCACGAGCACGGGTATGGTGCAGACAAACCTAGAAACATAATCGGGGCGAACCGGGATTCGAACCCAACATGAAAGATGAGGATGATCACTTGGTGAGTTCACATGTCAGTGAGTGAGTGAGTGAATTGGGATTAAACCACATTATATTCAGTATACATTTGGGAGGAAAGTCCAAAGTGTCGAAGGTTCTACAAATCTACATGGGTGAGACTGACCAGTTCAAGTATGGTGAGAACAAACCATACTCGGATTAAATCTAGGATTCAAACATGATCAAAGGAAATTCAATGTAAATTACATATATTTTGACCTTGTTAAAATGAGAGCTAGCATGGATTGTAATGTTAATGCCCCACTTAGCATCAATATTCCACCTATATCACCTCAGTCTTTAAATAATTGAGTCTGGACCATACAAATCAGTGATTGATATTATGAGCATCACTCCATGCCAACACATGATCAAGCAAGTTACTACCACGATCTATTAAGATGCTTCTGTCTACAAGCATAGGTTAGTGGGGATCACATCCCAAGCTATAATACCCATGGACAAGGGCAGGGACTAGTCTAGAACCGCTACCCGATAAACCCAAACCCCTATTTCTCGACCTACCGGGTACCTCCTGTAGGTCTCAAGTTGGGTACAGAATGTCCAATTTGGAATTGTTTTATCAGATCCCTGACAAAAATTATAGACGTATAAAAAAAATCTGATCATGCATACACTGAAGCATTATCTTTACTCAAACATATAAAAGTCAGAAGGAATGTGTGCATGGTCAGAAAGAAAAGCAACCATTAGCAACTTGTAGTGTAGTCATGGCATCATTGTTATTGTCATTCAACAATACGTCATGTGACTAACCACGGGTCTGAGTATCTGAGTTAACTGCCCCAGCCCTACCAGACATGCACACTTGGGATGGAATTCAAAATCAAAAGTATTCACCTTAATGTTCTGTCAGTATGTCCAACAACACAATGTCAGTTAACCCCAGCACCCTGATGTTGGAATGGCTCATCCTACCTCTACAAGTGTAGGGATAAAAATGGCTACAGGTTGAAAACCAACTTACTTCCTGTTTCATGGAATACGATTCAGTTCAATAATTCCCAAAGATTACTGGTTCTCATTTCAGTAGTAAAAATGAAAAATGAAAAATGAAAAATTGAAATTCTCAATACAGTTTACAAGTGCAATAGGACTGCTACAAAATAGTTTTTTTCTTATGTAATATGCTGTTCTGATTAGCTCATATTTAAACAAATATTTGAAACTACGATTACGTAGCCGACAGGGACAAGTAATGATTAGAGAGATTCATTTTGTGCCTTCTTCATATCAGATTTCCTGTTTGAACTTTTTAAGTAAAAAGTTTTACTGGCCCCACTAGAAAACTACTGGCCACGGGATAGCGGTTATTTCGAACGCTGGCTGAGACCACACGAATGGAATGTCACAAGACTTGCTCTCACTCAAGCACACAGGTCTTGAAGCACATGTTTCAGTCACACACAGGTCTTGAAGCATGTGTTTCAGTCACATACATCTCTTGATGCATCTCTTTCAGTCACACAAAGTTCTTGAAACACCTGTTTCTGTCATACTCAGCTCTTGAAGCACCTCTTTCAGTCACACACATCTCTTGAAGCACCTCTTTCAGTCACACACAGGTCTTGAAGCACATTTCAGTCACATACAGCTCTTGATGCACCTCTTTCATTCAAACAGCTCTTGAAGCACGTGTTTCAGTCACACACATCTCTTGAAGCACCTGTTTCAGTCCTACGGGCTAGCTTAATGTTCTATCTTGTGACCTATTCTGGTTCAAAATACAAGTTTGAGACTAAAAGAATTCTTTTTAATGACCGATTTCCACCATGTCTGGGATATTCTGTAACACTTCCTGCTTATGGCTCCTTGTCACTAGTTCTGCAAGGGACAAAAACCTGTCTGATATGGACTCAGAAAGAAATTCGGAGTTGCTGAAACCGGAAACAATTTTACTCTACATACTACCAGATTTCTACTTGTATACAGAAGTCAAACAATCTGGCTACTCAAGTCTTAAACTGGCTAGCAAAACAATTCTCTTGATAGCCTGGCTAGTACTTTTGAAAATTATTTCACACGCTGTACACGGCTAGCCGGCACGGTGAAGGATGCTACGGCATAAATATGAAGGTCGGAAAGGACAAACTGGACATATCTAGACTCAACGACAGGTTGAAGTTTTATTAAATGTCAAATGATTTAGAAATATATGTTTGAATATCATACGCAGCTTGTTCACTATACAAATACAATCTGTAAAATATTTTCGGAACTGGTCGAGTATTCTTCAATGAACCATATCAAATTTTAATTCAATTTTTCGCCATTGTTGGAGATCATATTTAAACCTTCATTCCAACATTACCTACTCTTCTGAAGCCCTTTGTATCTTGCAGTATTGTAGATGGCAATATTTACTTGTAGTTCTTGACACAAGAATGGTAACAGCAACAAAACAATAAAAGAAACTAGGACTGCAGGATATTACCAGTATACTGAAATACACTTTTCAAATGGTATGTTTTGCAATATTTTTCTGGTTCTGGTATATAAGGTAAAAAACATCAAATTTGTCACCATTTGTGTTGTTTAACCTAAAATCTACACAGAAATATATTCCCAAATTGTTTCCCTTCAAAATTCATTGACACAGTGGCGAAAATATGGAAGTGGCTGACTGACCATGCTTAGTAATATTTACTACTATTTATGTAGAAATAGGATCTGCATGTACAATCAGTGTCAGTGTAAATCACTTGAGTTCCCAATATATCACAATACATATCGTAATAAAAAAAATTTCAATACACAGGCCTATGAAAAAGTCAACATAACGTAAAGTTCTCCAACTTACAACACCAGCTACAATATAGTCCATTTCAGGAGGATGATTCTTCGAGATTATTGGATTAACATGTAAGATCAAGTGATCAGATATTTCATCAGATATTTCATTGTTAAACTGACCATCAATGATATCAGGTTATAGTCCAGTCTGAAAATAATACCTTTGAATTTGATCTAGCATGATTTTATTTCTTCACCGTTACATACATTTGACAATAATTCCAATTTTGATTTTATGGCAGGATACGCCATGACCACCTTTCTTCTAGTCCAAGACAAAACAATCTGGATGGACTAGCTTCTCTTACAATCTTGTTACTAAACCACAAGTCAAAGAATGACCAGTGGATTAACTGGTTTTAACACATAGCATCTGCCTATTTATTTCATATAGACATATTTCATAGGGAAAAGTTGTGGCAACATTGTGACAGTCTGAATTGTAAAATGGGCGTTTCTAAGTGGAACCTCATAAGAGTCTAAATTTAATCTTTCATAGCTTTGATGGACAAAACATCTGGCAATCTTATTACTGGCCATAGTGATCTGGTGGGAGATTTATCTATCTACTTTGCTACATGGAAACACGCTCATTCGCATCTGATTGGTATTCCGATTTGATACCTCTCTCCATCTCAATCTGACAAACCAGGTCACATTAGGCGAGTGAGTGAGTTGGGTTTAACGCCGCTTTGAACAGCATTCCAGTTATATCGCGGCGTGTCAGCTTAATGTGGGAGGAAAGCCAGAAGTGATGCAGGTCTTAGATGTTTACCACTTTGGTGAAACCCACGAGCAAGGGTATGGTGCTGACAAACCTAGAAACATAATCGAGGATAACCGGATTCGAACCCACAATCATAGGTTTCTGGCGTGCCGAAGGGATGCATCTCTGCACAGTGAATTGTGCTTTAGAATAATTGGCCACCCCGGGCCACCCCGGGCCCCCTCACATCAGGTGAACCCGAACAAACTGACCATGCAATAAAAATGAATGATGACGGATTTTTCAGTCGATGAAAAGTTTCTAACTAATGTGGCTTCATTTCCATACTAGCGGCCTTGGACAGTGCTTTTTAAGCAAATTTACTAATTTTTGGTGCTGGAGAAATGAAATTCTTATGTCATTGAATGTAGGACTGAAATAACAGGGTCTAAAATACCCACGCCACGGTGCAGCCTTTATTGTTATCCATTTGGAACTGTTCATTTACATTCATTTTCAGAAGCTGCTCCGAATGATTCACACACACACATACCAAGAGTGTGTGAGCAATATAAGCAGAACTGCAGCTGTTTACATGAAGAAGAACCAGCTGATCTAATAAATCCACCTGATGTCACCTAGTGACGGTTTATAACATTTTGATAGACGGGTATTAAATTGGAGTAAACAATCAGATATTAATGAGATTGTGGATGAAACACAGCCTCATACTAGTACCTGACAAAGCGACAAACTTGAACTGACAAAAACCGTAAACTGGGTACAAGCACTATTGGAGTGAGGGATACCATAGAATTATTTCCATATGGGGATTGAACCCATTGCTCAAGTGGGATGAGAGAACACCCTACCAACTGCATGCTCTAGGTCTTAGATCTGACCATTTACGTTGGCTGTGTTGGCATGGACTACACATATCCAGGGTCAATGATCCGAAACAAAAACGAAAAACTGAAACCCAAAAGCACGGGTATGGTGCTGACAAACCTAGAAACCATCATGACACATCTGGGACTCGAACCCTGATCATACGTTTGTTTCACTTAGACTGCTGGGCCACCACTAGCCCCGTTTCTTTAGGCGAAGCCTGCAGCTGTGATATGTAGCACAAAAATTTCTTAAAAATAGAAATCCCGAGGTGAAATATGATTCAAGCATTTTTTACCCATCTGATCCTGTTTGACTGTAATGGATATTGAAGCCTATTGGATGCTCATGCAGGCTTGATTTACCAGAAGCAAAATTCTTTCGTATTAATGTCGTGATTCAAGTTTTTAGCTGGATGAATTGTGATTCTTGTTTATGAATGATGGGATTTACAATGTTCTAATGGCGATGATTGTTTTGTATCAAAGGGGAATCCACAGGGTCCGACAACTGAAATATTTCAATAGGACAAGTGCCAACTTGAAATCACAGAAAGTTTGCAAGACAACTGCAAATCACAAACTTGCAAGACAACGGCAACTCACAGAAAGTTTGCAAAAAATTTACAGCTTTGTATAGCAAATATTCTTATCACAAGCCAAATGAGAAGCATGACATTTCATAATTTCTCATAACCAGTTGAAAAGAAATAAATGTTTTACAAGCAGTTGTCTTGGAAACCAGCATATTCGTCCAATCCAGGGCACCCCTGAATCTAGCAATGTGTCTTCTTGTCATGTGTTTAGTCCTCCTGTGAAGCATCGTCCTCTTGCGATGATTTCCGTCTTGATTATGATTATGATGAAGATGGCAGACAACACAAAAACATTCGATCACAAAATTCACGTAACGAGATCCATCCATAAAGGGAAAGAATTCCTAGAATTGCATGTCTTTGCTAAAATATCACAGGTAAATGTTGCTATGGCAACCACAAAATCTGTCACCTTGCATGAGGTACAGATAACGAGTTCATTCTCTCCCTCTTTGGTTCGCCTTGCACCATGGTGTCCACAAACTGTTCCAACATCTTGATTAGCACTTTCTTCTTAAATCTTGCCGCTTCGTGAATCACGTCCCTGACTAACGAGCACCGAGCATCCAGCCCTCCCTGTATTGTGTTCAGCAGAGAAAATATACCATCGTAATCTGAAACACAACATACACAAATACTATAGAACTGCTGCAGACCAAGAATCATGACGTTAGGGGTTGATTTATCGTATTCGACGTAATAAGCGCCTAGGGCGCTCTCAATATAAGAAATAGGGGGCTCTTATTAGAATATTATTTTAGTGAGAAAAAAAACAGAGTTAAAAGGTAAATTTCATGGTTTATGCTGACAGACTGAAATGTTTATGTAAGACAGATATATTTTTCCAGAATTTAATTGCCCATAATTAAGTGTGCATATAACAGATGAGTGCGTATTTTACGCAAATATATAAGTCTTGTGTACATTGATCAATCGGAAGGGGTGCTAATTAGGATTGTTCACTGGCCAATATATTAGCGAATATCGACGTGGGCGCTTATTAGAGCAGGGCGCTTATTTCGTCAAATACGGTAACTGCTGGCCCATTGGCCCGTGGAAACTGGACTTTTAAAGTCAGTTATCTCCCTTGCCTAGGGAAGATTGATCTCCAGCAGCAGCGATTCACCCGAAACATTTTCCACACCTAAAATGATATCAAATAAGGACATCGCTAAAAGCCTGACATTCTAACTAGCCCTCAGGATACCTTTAACATGAGACGAACTAAGTCAGTCTAAACGAATTTCAACCCTGCCAATCTCAGTAAAATCAGACCTTAGTTCTCCCTACCACTAAACAAAGATCTGAGGACACCCCATTATGGGTCACATCAGAACGACCTTTCATCCGACCAATCAGAGCATCGCTTACAAGATCATGAAAGTGACAGTCGGAATGTGATTTCTGATCATGCAGCCTCGAAAACTTTAACTCCGAACGATAGTTACGGGTTTAACGACTGTATCCATACAATCTAGACCATCTATTAGCCATTCCAGAATGTTCTTTTGTTCAGGTTTCAAATTGTAATCGAGAATTTGTCAAAATATGTTTCGAAGCGTAGTTGCCAATTTGAAATTACTGCCGTAAAGCACGAGAAAGCTGCCTTCCGATTGGTCATTCCATTGGTCGGTCAAAGTTTGCGCAAGGTCGGTCTGACGTGACCTGTAATGGGATGTCCTCAGATCTTTGTTTAGCGGTAGCGAGAACTAAGATCTGTTTTTAATGAGATTGGAACCCTGCTGAATCAATCAAGTCTTAGAGCTCACTTTGAGGACATCCCACTACAGGTCAGGACGACCAACCAATGAATGACTGAACAAGAAGTCTACATTTACCAATCAGAAAGCAGCTTTCTCAAGCTTCAGGGTGCTAGTTTCAAAATGGCAATTTCCATTCCAGATTAGCTTTGAAAAATATTTTGACAAAGTTCGCAATACAACATTTGAAAACTGAACAAAAGAAATTCAGGAATGTCTAAACGATGGCAAAGATTGTATGGCAGTTCTTCCCAAGAGATATGGAAAGTCTCTTTCTTTTCAAATGTCTAGCATTTGGAATCAGTCGTACAGCCCATAGCTGTCATTCAGAATGTTAACCTAATCGAGATTGCATGATTAGGTGTGATGAGGTGAAATGGGGTTTAACGTCGCGTCCAAGATTATTGCACTTATATAGAGACGTGCATGCACGTGTGTGTGTGTGTGGCTGCTTGTACTAGTCCGGACTGATGCCGATTTATAGTGCTAGCCAACTAAGATACCATGCCGCAGTTTAGCATGAATACCCCACTCAGACACAGTATACTGACTCCGAGCCGACCAGTCCTTGTTTTAGCCCCTTAATGCCGAGCGTCAGACAGGGTAACCAAGTACCACCTTTTAACGTCTTTTGGTTTGACGCGGCCGGGGATCGAACCCCGGACCTTCCGCTCTCTGGGAGGACGCTCTACTACTAGACCACGGAGGCGGTCTACATGATTAGAAAACACATTCGGACTTTCATTTCAAAATCTCGCAAGTGACACACTGATTGGTCACATGAAAGGTTGACCTGATGTGTTTTGTTTGTTGTTTAACGCCACACTCAGCAATATTCCAGCTATATGACTGTGGTCTGTAAATAATCCAGTCTGGACCAGACAATCCAGTGATCGACACTGTGAGCATCAATCCAAGCAATTTGGATCAATGACATGCATCAACCAAGTCAGCGAGCCTGACCACCCGATCCCGTTAGTCGCCTTTTACGACAAGCATAGTTGCCGTTTACAGCAAGCATGGTTTGCTGAAGACCTGTTCTACCCCGGAATCTTCACGGGTCTGACCTGATGTGACCTGTAATGGGCCATCCTCAGATCTTTGTGCAGCGGTAGCGAGCACCAAGATCAGATTTTAATTAGATTGTAGCGTAACAAAACAAAGGACTTTTTAATTTTGCAGCCAGACAATCGTCATAGATCAAAATATTTCAACAAATGCGTAAAGAAATCCCAGATCTTACTTTTCCCTGGCCGTTTGACCTCCCTCACCAGGGAGATACGGAGCTTGGAGTTATGACTGCACACAGCGGCTTCTCGCCGGGAATTTCCAATCTTGTTTCCATGATCGATATTGTTCGTCACTTTAGCGTCCACATTATTCGAATGATTGTGGTCTTCACCCACATGATTGTTTGTTTTTTCAGCACTTTTGACTTTCTCTGGGGAACCATCATCACTATCAAGCACTATCTGCAGGGGCCGGTCTTCTGCACACAAAACAATCACATCAATATTCCACCACCAACAAAGCTCTCTGAGCATTCATGTTTGTTTGTTTGTTTAACGCCGCACTCAGCAATATTCCAGGTATATGACGGCGGTCTGTATATAATCGAGTCTGGACCAGACAATCCAGTGATCGACACCGTGAGCATCGATCCACCAATTGGGATGCGATGACATGTATCAACCAAGTCTGACCACCCGATCCCGTTAGTCGCCTTTACGACAAGCAGGTCACCTTTTACGACAAGCATGGGTTGCTGAAGACCTATTCTACCCCGGATCTTTAGGGATGAGCATTCACTCAAGTAATGACGCTATGCATGCACTCTACACAGCTAGGTCCAGTTGTTCAAAAACCCAGTTATCACAAAACATCCTTGAAGTCTAAAAATCTTAACCATAGGTTTGTTTTTGAATAATGTGTTGTTGTTTTTTACAGTTTCCCCGTGTTATGAGTTTTTCGGATGCTTAAGAAACACACAGTTTTCTCTCTAATCACATGAACAACGGTAAAACATCTCACTCAATTATAAAAAACAATTTTATCTTAAAAAGAAGCCATCATCTGAGTATTAAGAATGTTTGTGTGATGCACAACCCCCGTTATAGCTTGAGTAATCGTCTGAAAATCTGTTATCCAACAGTACGTTAAATATTATGACTGTTACCTCATGTCCTGACGTGTATTTTGTTTCAACATCATGATTGTACGGTTAAAGACTTGGCCAAGTATTTAGCATCTACTGTCGTATGAACAAATTAATCACAATCAAATTGTAACATTCAGAGTTACTTCCCTTGAATGTGTGTGTTTAAAAGCCATACAGGAAATTACATGGAAACAGATTTAAAAAAACATTTTTATCATTCTGTTGATTGTAAAAATTTTATCCACTAATTTCAATTTAATTAAATTTGATTCATCTTATTAAGCTGGGAATTCACATGAAACAAATCCAAACAATGAAGAGCTAAATATACATAATCCAAATCTACCGAAAAAGTAATCATTAATTTTACAATGGAAGACACTGTTTTTGAAGAACTTTAGATCATGAGTGTGAGTTGTGTTTAACGCCGCTTTTAACAGTATTCCAGTTATATCGCGGCATGTCAGCTTAATGTGGGAGGAAAGCCCGAAGTGATGCAAGTCTCGGACGTTTACCACTTCGGTGAAACCCACCAGCACGGGTATGGTGCTGACAAACTGACAAACCTAGAAACATAATTTGGGCGAACCGGGATTCGAAACCCACAATCATAGGTTTCTGGCGTGCCCAAGGGACGCAACTCTGCACAGCGAATCGCGGCACCTTAGATGGCTGGGCCACCCGTGCACCCCATTAGATCATGAAACAAGCACTGTACTTGATGTAGCTTGATACAAGAATTTGCTTAGTAACGCCTCCTACAGAGCAACACACCTGTCGAAATGGATTCAACAGCTCCAACAGTTGTTATACACAATACCTAACACGTAATAATTTTGAATATTGTATCAAATTTTGAAACCTTCCAAATTTTATGAAATTGAACCAAGACAAATTCTTAAACAAAGTCAACAGGACATCATGTAACGATATCTGTAAGGTCAATAAGATTCCTACTGCTCAGCCTCAATATTTTCCATGGTATCAGGCCAACAGGTCGGGCACCTGCTGGTTTCCCTCTCGCATGAATCGCTTGATTCACTGGTTAAAAATAGTGCCAAAAGAAAAGCTGAATCATGTGTTCACTATTCACAAGTGATGGGGGAACATAATAATAACAAAAATAATAATAAAAATAATGCTAAAAATAATGATAAAATAATTAAAAAAATAAAAATAATCATCATCATAATCAGCCAAATTCATTGGTTAAAAATGTGCTCACTATTCACATGTGATGGGGGAACATAATAACAAAAATAATGATAAAATAATAATAATAAAATATTAATAATAATCATCATAATTCACCAAATTCTCACTATGAAGCATGCTCAAAGCACAACATTATTACCCCGTCAATGGAGCAGTGTACACTTGAATTTCATTCTCAGCTCCCTGGGGAGTATGCAACCCAAGCTACCTGTGAGGCGCTAGAAGGTTAACAGTCATTACCATATCATCCTACCGGGTACCCATTCACTGCTGGGTGAACAGAGGCACATTTCGAACAAAGTCAATGGCCAAAGGACACACATGCACAACAAGTGCTTCAGTGTGGGGCAGGACCAAAGCCCTAGAAACTCTCCGGAGTCAAGCTGCCGAACACGGTCACCCATCCAACTACTCTCTGCGACCAATGTGGCTTAACGTCACTGATTTGTAGGTGAGGTGAAATGGGGTTTAACGTCGCGTCCAAGATTATTGCACTTACATAGCGACGTGCATGCACGTGTGTGTGTTTATGTGGCTGCTTGTTCTAGTCCGGACTGATGCCGATTTATAATGCTAGCTCACTGAGATACCATGCCGCAGTTTAACATGAATACCCCACTCAGACACAGGTTACTGACTCCGAGCTGACAAGTCCTCGTTTTAGCCCCTTAATGCCGAGCGCCAGACAGGGTAACAACAAGTACCATCTTTCAACGTCTTTTGGTATGCCGCGGCTGGGGATCGAACCCCGGACCTTCCTCTCTCAGGGCGGATGCTCTACCACTAGACCACAGAGGCGGTCCACTGAATTGTAACCTGTGCTGTGTATAGTGTGAAATATTGACTATCTCACAGAGACCCATTATTTCTCTGGCACCTACCCAGCATTTGTTCCTGTGTTTCATCCGTCTCCATTTTCTCTTCTTCCGGGCTATCCGGGACCGGTGATGGTGGTGGGGTTATCAGTTGCCGGACCGACAGTTCTCGTGGCAACGGGCCCGCCTTTCTCTTCTTGGGCCCGGGTGATGGAGGTGGGCTCTCGGACGACCGCTTGTTTCGTGTCTGAGTCCCGAACATGGCTTCTTCTGCCTCATCCACCATGAAAGTGTTCTGGTTCTGAAAGAACAAATGATAGGCACTCAATATTCCGGCAATATGACTGCAGTCTGTAAATAATCGTATCTGGACCAGACAATCCTGTGATGGACATCGTGAGCATCGATCCACGCAATTGGGATACGATGATATGCATCAACCAAGTCAGCGAGCCTGACCACCCGATCCCGTTAGTCGCCTCTTACGACAAGCATAGTCGCTTTTTACGGCAAGCATGGGTTGCTGAAGACCTATTCTACCCCAGATCTTCACGGGGGACAAGCATGGGTTGCTGAAGACCTATTCTACCCCAGATCTTCACGGGGGACAAGCATGGGTTGCTGAAGATGAGTATTTACGGGTCATTTCATCTCTAAATACATACTGTAAGAAGGTTATTTTCCTGTATTTGTTACTCACTGATTTATTGACTTTAAATGGATTTCCAAACATGTGTAATCTGACAGGCGAACTCTCCAGCTCTCGCAGGGCGGGGGGCTGCCTCTTGAGATACTCCTGATAGTTCCCCATCTGGCCGACTGGCACACTGTGTAGATTGTCTGAAGCATGGGAATGCAAGCAATGTTATCATCATCATCATCATCATCATCATCATCATCATCCAATATTCTCAAAGTCCATCACACTGGTAAACTGTGAATCATCATCATCATCATCATCATCATCTCAGATGCTGAAAGATAATCACAAAATTACCTTGGTCAACAGATCAGTTTATTCCAATTGCATTCTCAGCTTAGGTGCTAGAAAGTTTTGAATTCACATTACCAATTCATCCAACTGGGTACCCATTTCCAGCTGGGTGAAGAGGTGCAAATGCACTGGTATTTTTAATGATATGAGTTTTGTGTTGGTGTAGGACCACTCACCTTCATCACAGAGTTTTGTGTTGGTGTAGGAAGACTGAAGGAAGTTTGTTCTCATCCGCGTCACCTGATCAAGCAGACTTTTCCTTGGAATATCGTATGGGTTCCTGAAACACAAAACATGTACTAGTCGATGTACTACTGATGCGGATTTTGTAGTGCTAGCTCACTGAGATACCATGCCACAGTTTAACATGAATACCCCACTCAGACACAGTATACTGACTCCGAGCCGACCAGCCCTTAAATGCCGAGTGCAAGGCAGGGTAACAACAAGTACCATTGTTTAACGTCTTTTGGTATGACGCGGTCGGGGATCGAACCCACGACCTTCCGTCCTCCAGGTGGACACTCTAGCACTAGACCAAGGAGGCGGTGAGTGAGTGAGTGAGTGAGTGAGTGAGTGAGTGAGCGAGCGAGTGAGTGAGAGTGAGTGAGAGTGAGAGTGAGTGAATAGTTTGTTACAGCTTTCAGCAATATTTGGCATATCACGACAGGTGACACCAACCATGGTCTCCCACATTGTACCCATGTGGGGAATCGAACCCAGACCTTCAGTGTGACAATCAAGGGCTTCCACCACAAGGCTGCACATTGCCCAGGATTGAGTGCATCACTTGACCTCACATCACACCCCGGTGGCAGTGATCACTCACCTGTAGAACTGAGGTTTGATGCCCCGGTCGGGCACGGCGATGCTGAACGTGGTGTACTCCTGTAGGTCCTGCTTCAGCCACGCCATGTTGCCTCCCAGGTTCTGCATCAACTGGTTGAAGTCCTTCCTCTGTAGCACTGACGTCTGACTCCTGAAACAGAAGCATCAACGTGACCCAATGTCAGCGTCTGAAATAACTGCCTGCCCGTGGCTGGTAACTTTTCTACCGGGCTGCAATAAAAAAATTCTCCACCGGCCCGACTGTCTGGCATTTAATCTTAAGACTACTTACGTTTTCAATTTTATTATACCTCCTTTTAGATTCTCAAGTAATTGTTTACATTATTTATCTCTTACTTTTCAATAGTTGTCTCTTACTTTTCAATAGTTGTCTCTTACTTTTCAATATTTGTCTCTTACTTTTCAATATTAGTCTCTTACTTTTCAATATTTGTCTCTTACTTTTCTCTTACTTTTCAATACTTTTCTCTTACTTTTCAATATTTGTCTCTTACTTTTCTCTTACTTTTCAATATTTGTCTCTTACTTTTCAATATTTGTCTCTTACTTTTCTCTTACTTTTCAATATTAGTCTCTTACTTTTCAATATATGTCTCTTACTTTTCTCTTACTTTTCAATATTAGTCTCTTACTTTTCAATATTAGTCTCTTACTTTTCTCTTACTTTTCAATATTAGTCTCTTACTTTTCTCTTACTTTTCAATATATGTCTCTTACTTTTCAATATTTGTCTCTTACTTTTCAATAAATGTCTCTTACTTTTCAATATTTGTCTCTTACTTTTCTCTTACTTTTCAATATATGTCTCTTACTTTTCAATATTTGTCTCTTACTTTTCAATATATGTCTCTTACTTTTCAATATTTGTCTCTTACTTTTCTCTTACTTTTCAATATTAGTCTCTTACTTTTCAATATTTGTCTCTTACTTTTCTCTTACTTTTCAATATTTGTCTCTTACTTTTCAATATATGTCTCTTACTTTTCTCTTACTTTTCAATATTAGTCTCTTACTTTTCAATATTAGTCTCTTACTTTTCTCTTACTTTTCAATATTTGTCTCTTACTTTTCAATATTTGTCTCTTACTTTTCTCTTACTTTTCATTATTAGTCTCTTACTTTTCAATATTAGTCTCTTACTTTTCTCTTACTTTTCAATATTTGTCTCTTACTTTTCAATATTTGTCTCTTACTTTTCTCTTACTTTTCAATATTAGTCTCTTACTTTTCTCTTACTTTTCAATACTTTTCTCTTACTTTTCAATATTAGTCTCTTACTTTTCAATATTAGTCTCTTACTTTTCTCTTACTTTTCAATATTTGTCTCTTACTTTTCTCTTACTTTTCAATATATGTCTCTTACTTTTCAATATTAGTCTCTTACTTTTCTCTTACTTTTCAATATTTGTCTCTTACTTTTCTCTTACTTTTCAATATTAGTCTCTTACTTTTCAATATTTGTCTCTTACTTTTCAATATTAGTCTCTTACTTTTCTTACTTTTCAATATTAGTCTCTTACTTTTCTCTTACTTTTCAATATATGTCTCTTACTTTTCAATATTAGTCTCTTACTTTTCTCTTACTTTTCTCTTACTTTTCAATATTTGTCTCTTACTTTTCTCTTACTTTTCAATATTTGTCTCTTACTTTTCTCTTACTTTTCAAAATTTATAATGTCTAAATGTGGGCAGGTAAATTTGAAGATGGGCAGGCAACATTTATAGGTCTTGTTGGGTTTTAAAATTATTTTTAAACACTGCCCCATGTCATCTTCAGGTCACCTGTCGCCATTACTTCTCCTTAAAATGATCTCAGCTCTCAGCTCGCAGCCCTCAGCTCTCAGCTCGCAGCTCACAGCTCACAGCTCACAGCTCTCAGCTCTCAGCTCACAGCTCTCAGCTCTCAGCTCTCCAACTCCAAACACTTATTTGGAACCTGTTTTGCAGTTTTACCCATGAGTGTGTGAGTTGGGTTAAACATCACTTTGTACAGTATTCCAGTTATATCACAGCCTAATATGGGAGGAAAACCCGAAGTGATGCAGGTCTTGACGTTGACCACTTTGGTGAAACCCACAAGCAGGGTATGGTGCGGACAAACCCTGAACATAATTGAGGTGAACCAGGATGTGAACTCACGATCATAGGCTTCTGGTGTGCCAAAGGGACGCAACTCTGCACAGCGAATTGTAGTGAATTAGATGACTGGGCCACCTGTGGCCCATATTACCTATAGTGCTGAGGTGTGTTAAAGAGTTGGGAATAGCACAACTTTGAACCATTTTTCAGCTATATGACAACAGTTTAGCTGTAGGAGTGAGTGAGTGAGCGAGTTGGGTTTTACGCCACTTTCAGCATTATGCTAGCAATATCAGAGCAGGGGACAACAGAAATGTGGCTTTAAACAATTTACCTAGGGGTACTGAACCCAGTGTCTTCGGCGTGACAAGCCAACGCTTTATCAACTTGGCTACTACACTGCCCCTTAACATGACACAGGACGTAGTTGTTAACCGCTTCGGTAAAACCCCAAAACGGGCATGATAGTGACTAACCAAGGATAATGACCCCACAATCAGTGGATCCTCCTCCAGACAAGGGATACAACTCTACACATTGCTCCCATGATAGCTAAGTGCCATGATCTTGAAAGAGCTTCATTTCCTTTGGGAAGAAGTACATTCTGCATAGATAATGGACGGAACTCATTGTTGTATTTAGAGCCCGAGTCCGCAGCAAATGCACATAAAAATTCCCAAATAGGTATAAAATTCATGTCAGAGTAATTCTAACTAACATAATGTCTTGGTCGAGGTGATTTGATTTTCACTGATACAGGGCAAATAAAGAGGAAAAAGGCTTAATTTAACATTAGTGTTAAAATACCTATGAAATTAAGAAAATATGAACTTTCTAAAAATTCGATTTTGAACTAAGTAATGATTTTTCCTAATTTACCTGCCAAGGGCACTTTGTTTGAAATCCTTGAAAAAATCTTGGAACTTGATACAACAGTTCCATTGGCATTCAAATTTCTTCACAGTAAATTACAGACCTCAGACCACCAGGTACTATTAAAAGTTTGGCAACATGTCCTGCAGTAAATAACTCACCTGGAGCTGACTTTGATTCCTTCATTGTGTTGCGGCTTCTGACCCACTGAGGCGATCAGCCTGTCCATTTCTATCTTGGCCTGATGGGATAAGAGACATACAACCATTAACAACAACAACAACAACAACAACGAGTGAATATGGTTTTACGCCGCTTTTAGCAATATTCCAGCAATATCACGGCGGGGGGCACCAGAAATGGGCTTCACACATTGTACCCATGTCGGGAATCGAACCCAGGCCTTCGGCGTGGCGAGCTAACGCTTTAACCACAAGGCTACCCGACCGCCCCTACAACAACAATGACAATAATAATGGGCATAATCATAAAGTGCCAAATCCACACCAAAAGCATGCTCCAAGTGCTTTATTGTTACTCTGGTCAATGGAGTACACAACCAAAGCTGCCTGTGAGGTGCTAGAAGGTTGGTTGGTTTGTTGTTTAACGCCGCACTCATCAATATCCCAGCTATATGACGGCGGTCTGTAAATAGTCGAGTCTGGACCAGATATTCCAGTGATTGATATCATGAGTATCGATCCACGCAATTGGGATCGATGACATGCATCAACCAAGTCAGCGAGCCTGACCACTCGATCCCGTTAGTCGCCTTTTACGACGAGCATAGTCGCCTTTTACGGCAAGCATGCTCAAGATGGATTCTAACCCGGATCTTCATAGGTATCGTACAAAGAAACTTACCAAAAGAGACATGTGTTAAAACAGTGCTTAACTTCACTGATAATGATCTGAGTAACCTTGTGAGAGGTCCTACTTTCAAGTGAGACGTACTGAAAAGGTTTTACAGCTGAACTGTATAAACAGCCTTTTGATATGCTCCTAATTTTAATTTTTAACATAAAAATTCCATGATGTGAATTGAACCTGCAACCTCACAAGTCATGTTTAGTATTATAACCCAGTTTTTCCCACTCAGCCCCTGGGGCAGGTGATGAAAGAGTTTAATCTTACATGTCATGACTTCAGTTGATTGCTTGCTGCACATGATCTTTCTCTCGCTCGCTGTCATCAAATTTGATTTATACTGTGACTATTGTATTGTTTCACTGTAAGGTATCCAGATATTTTCTTATACTTTTGGTACTTCCAGCTTATAGATGGTTAATAAGTTAGTTACAGTCCGCCTCGGTTGTGATTGACAATAAAAATGTCAAAATTAGGACATCGTATGTGCGTGCGAAGTACCTGGTTTTTAAGTTTCTTGAGGTAGGTGATGACGCTGTAGCTGAGGCAGTTGTCCATGTTGTCAGGGACGAGGTTCGCCGCACCCATCCTGGCCATCGCCCGGCGTAACGGCTGCAGAGGACACACATCATGAAGGAATTACCACAAACACTGCAACTTCCTTACTCTAGGATCTCTACTCTAGGATAGTTACACATAGTCAGGATCTCTACTCTAGGATAGGTACACATAGTCAGGATCTCTACTCTAGGATAGGTACACATAGTCAGGATCTCTACTCTAGGATAGTTACACATAGTCAGGATCTCTACTTTTGGACAAGAATTATGCATAGTCAAGATCTCTACTTTCGGACAATAATTACGCATAATCAGGATCCCAACTTTCGGACAATAATTATGCATAGCCAGGATCTCTACTTTTGGACAATAATTACGCATAGCCAGGATCTCTACTTTTGGACAATAATTACGCATAGCCAGGATCTCTACACTAGGATAGTCACCCGAAGCCAGGATCTCTACTTTGGGATAGCTACAGAGTCAGGATCTCTACTCTAGGATAGTCACCTGAAGCCAGGATCTCTACTCTAGGATAGTCACCCGAAGCCAGGACCTCTACTCTAGGATAGTAACCCTAAGCCAGGATCTCTACTCTAGGATAGTAACCCGAAGCCAGGACCTCTACTCTAGGATAGTAACCCTAAGCCAGGATCTCTACTCTAGGATAGTAACCCTAAGCCAGGATCTCTACTCTAGGATAGTAACCCGAAGCCAGGACCTCTACTCTAGGATAGTAACCCTAAGCCAGGATCTCTACTCTAGGATAGTCACCCGAAGCCAGGATCTCTACTTTTGGATTACTATACAGTCAGGATCTCTACTCTAGGATAGTTACACTAAGCCAGGATCTCTACTCTAGGATAGCTACGCAGTCACTCAGCCAGCATGTAGTACAACAACCAACCAATCAGCCAGCATGTAAAATAAAGAGACACTCACCCCAGCATAGTAACCAGGCATAGTCTTGAGGTAGTTCTCAAACTGTTGCCTCCATTTTGGTGTTGGTTTTAATTTGTGGACTTTAAACAGCTCCTCTGTTGATGAAAACATTTAAATATTTATAGAAGCATAAAAGAAACAGTTGTATTTCACACAAAATCAACATAGCTGCATGACTGAAATAATAAAAAGTGGAAAATACATCTGAAAGCATCATACCGTATTCGACGTAATAAGCGTCCCGCTCTAATAAGATCTAATAAGCACCCACAGCGATATTTGCTAATATATTGGCCAGTGAACAATCCCAATTAGCACCCCTTCCGATTGATCAATGTACACAAGACTTATTTATTCATGTATAATACGCACTCGTGTGCTATATGGACCCTTAATTATGGGCAATTAAATTCTGGAAAAATATATCTGTCGTATATAAACATTTCAGGCTGTCAGCATAATCCACAAAATTTATTAAGTCGAATACGGTATAGTAAATCTTCTGGGTGCAAACATAAATACTCCCCACTAAAACATTGTGCCTACAACAGGTGAAACAGCAAGACAGGTGTGACGACATATTCATATTGAATATGTCGCTAACACTATCTCTACCCTGTGTGAATAACTTGTAAATAAATACTCAAACCTCCCTGATAATGGAATACATTTTTCTATTATAAATTCATGTTCGCAAGGTTACATAAAGTTACATTTTGGCTGGACTAACGTGTCTATGCATAGTCAAATTTAACTCGCGTAACTAAATCGACATCCGGTTTGTAAATTGTCGTGCAGATTTCGACGATTGCAGGAATTACAAAGCATCTGTACCGTCAACTCAGTGTCAACAGATAGTTTCCAAACTTTTTTATGTTTTACACGTGATTTGATGCACTTCGCGAAGTAGGAACCGTTTTATTACAATACAGATCTTGATTATCGATCAGATTTGTTGACTGGGCGCAGCCATTTCGTTTGAAGCAAATGCAAGTGATATGAGATGTGGAATCTGATTGGTCAATAGGAGGGATATAGAAGGGACATAACTCGTAATAGTGACTGGTGGCACTACGAACCAGCCCTGAAATTCCAGCCTAGTCGTCAAGGATGGAAACCGGACTTTCACAGTTAACTCCCTTGCCTCAGGAAGATGTCATAAATTGTGAAATGAATGGAGAGCGAGGTTGAGGACTCACCCAGCAGAGGCAGCAAGATGGGGTAGTTGTACGGCATCACGAACAGGTTGACACAGCTCAGCACGCTACTGGCCTTCAGGTAGCCGAACGGATGACATATATCACTGTACTTAGCACTGTTACCTATAAACACCTGCAACAAGACAAACAGATATTTGATAACAGAGCTCGATTTAAGAAAACTGATTTAACATGAACCAGGTGCTTATTCACATGAGTGAGTGAGTGAGTATGGTTTTACGCAGCTTTTAGCAATATTCCAGCAATATCACGGCGGGGGCACCAGGGAAATGGGCTTCACACATTTGTCCGGGTCTTCGGCGTGACGAGCGAACGTTTTAACCACTGGGCTACCCGACCGCCTCTTATTCACATGAAAACAAAACCATGTTGTATCCTGGTCCCATTAATTTATCAAAGAAACATAGATGCATTTTAAACTAGTCTAAAGAAATAAAATCTCAAATCTCTGATGACTGTCATAATTTTTCCTAAACTAATGAAGTATTGCTGCATGAGAGGAACATATGTACATAATCTTGCAGTTTGTTTGTTTGTTTGTTGGTTGTTTAACGCTGCACTCAGCATTATTCCAGCTATATGACAGCGGTCTGTAAATAATCGAGTCTGGACCAGACAATCCAGTGATTGACATCATGAGCATCGATCCACGCAATTTGGATACGATGACATGCATCAACCAAGTCAGCGAGCCTATCCACCCGATCTCGTTAGTCGCCTCTCACGACAAGCATAGTCGCCTGTTACGGCAAGTATGGGTTGCTGAAGACCTATTCTAACCCGGATCCTCTAACCAGGATGACACCACCATGGATGACACCACCATGGGTGACCGACCGGGGTGACCAACAGGGGGGACTGACCAGGATGACACCACCATGGGTGACCAACAGGGGGGACTGACAAGGGTGACACCACCATGGGTGACCGACCGGGGTGACCAACAGGGGGGACTGACCAGGATGACACCACCATGGGTGACCGACCGGCCTGACCAACAGGGGGGACTGACCAGGATGACACCACCATGGGTGACCGACCGGGGTGACCAACAGGGGGGACTGACCAGGGTGACCAACCAGTGTGATCGACAGGGGGGACCGACCAGTGTGATCGACAGGGGTGACCGACCGGGGTGACCAACAGGGGGGGCTGACCAGGGTGACCGACCAGTGTGATCGACAGGGGTGACCAACAGGGGGGGCTGACCAGGGTGACCGACCAGTGTGATCGACAGGGGGGACCGACCAGTGTGACCGACCAGTGTGACCGACCGGGGTGACCGACCAGGGTGACCAACAGGGGGGACTGACAAGGGTGACACCACCATGGGTGACCGACCGGGGTGACCAACAGGGGGGACTGACCAGGATGACACCACCATGGGTGACCGACCGGGGTGACCGACAGGGGGGACCGACCAGGATGACACCACCATGGGTGACCAACAGGGGTGACCAACAGGGGGGACTGACCAGGATGACACCACCATGGGTGACCGACCGGGGTGACCAACAGGGGGGACTGACCAGGATGACACCACCATGGGTGACCGACCGGGGTGACCAACAGGGGGGACTGACCAGGATGACACCACCATGGGTGACCAACAGGGGTGACCAACAGGGGTGACCAACAGGGGGGACCAACAGGGGGGACTGACCAGGATGACACCACCATGGGTGACCGACCGGGGTGACCAACAGGGGGGACTGACCAGGATGACACCACCATGGGTGACAGACCGGGGTGACCAACAGGGGGGACTGACCAGAGTGACCGACCGGGGGGACCAACAGCGGGGGACTGACCGGGGGGACCGACCGGGGTGACCGACCGGGGTGACTGACCTGCCAGCAGGAGTTTGGCTGTCGTCTCTCTAGGATGTACTGAGTGAGCGGCGATGGTTCCAGCTCGTACTTGTCGAAGGGTAGGTTCTCGATGACCATGGGATCACACGGAGAGCAGGAGAATCGCAACACAGGGTGGGCTGACCGCGGAGGCTGGGGACACAATACACATTTATACATCGTCTAAACTCAGAACTGACCTTAACATTTACTTGCATTTATGGAGGTATAAATGTAAAAAACGTAATAAAAAATGTGTACGTACTGACCTATACAACGAGTGCACAGCATTTTGTAAATTTATACCTCCATAAATGCAAATTCATATTGAAGTTAATTATTATAAATAAATACATCAACAATAATAACTTCAAAGACAAATTTAATTATTAACCCATTAACTGCAGAAAACAATACAAAATCAGTAACAATAAGTCAGCACTAAAATTCAACACAAGCCCTACCCATTCCATTATCAGCCAATTAGGAAAAAGTAGTCTGTTTGTGGGCATGGCCTATTTTGTTTTCCATTTATGGAAACAATTTTTTTTTTCAATAATTAAATTCCGTAAATGATATTCAATTTATATCTTCTTTGTGGGCTCCTACTTACTACCAGTCATTGAGAACCATCATTGGATTCTTAACTGTCCTCAGCCAGAATAAGTGTTGGGCTAGTAGGCTGGTATTAACTTTAAAGACTGTCTAACCCATATTCCAAACAAGCTGTAAACTCACCAACTGCGGACTACTGACGTCAGGCCAGTAAGCCTCAGGGATCGGCCAGTGTCCGACGGAGTACCCCTTCTGCGCTGATCGCGGGACGTAGATGAGCTTGCGGCAGTTGTGCCATGCTGCATTCAGCTGAGATTGCTGCAAGTTCAACTGTTTCTTATCTTCATTGCCATTCTCACGGTCAGAGATGATCTTGTTGGCGTCTTGATTCTCAGTGAGCGCCGGGCCTGGAAGGAATCGACATTGTTTTGATACTTTAGACAATCAAACTGACCACACATACTTTCAGGTTTTATTGGTTGAAGTGAAAAGATTACTTCTTTGTGCGAGAGAGTTTAGTTCACAAAAGAGTGAGTGAGTGAGTTTAATGCCGCTTTTAACATTATTACAGTTATATCGCGGCGTGTCAGCTTAATGTGGGAGGAAAACACGAAGTGATGCAGGTCTCAGACGTTTACCACTTCGGTGAAACCCACGAGCACGTGTATGGTGCTGACAAACCTAGAAACATAATCGGGGCGAACCGGCATTCGAAACCCACAATCATAGGTATCTGGCCTGCCCAAGGGACGCAACTCTGCACAGCAAATCGCTGCGCCTTAGACGACTGGGCCACCTGTGCCCCCTGTTCACATAAGGAATATTCCACATGTCAGATCCTGGGTACCAAGAATCCAGCGATAGAAACTAACTGTTTCAGTCTATTAGTCCTAAAACAAATAGCAACCCCTTAAAAATGGCAAATGTCTACGAGTCCTTGTGATACCTTAACTATTGGGCAGTGTGGGGGGACTATATGACTATGTCTGTTTGTTGTTGTTTAACGCCGCACTCAGCAATATTCAAGCTATATGGCAGCGGTCTGTTAATAATCGCGTCTGGACTAGACAATCCAGTGATTGATATCATGAGCATCGATCCACCCAATTGGGATCGATGACATGCATCAACCAAGCAGGCGAGTCTGACCACCCGATCCCGTTAGTCGCCTCTTACGACAAGCATAGTCGCCTTTTACGGCAAGCATGGGTTGCTGAAGACCTGTTCTACCTCGGATCTTCATGGGTCTCACTCATTTGTAGACCTAGGGGAAACTATTGACAGAGTATATCCATCTTCCTGAGGCAAGGGAGTTAACCGACTTTAAAAGTCCAGTTACCACCTTTGCAGAAATAGGCTGGTATTCCGGAGTTTTTTTTAGCTGGACTAACAAGTCTATGCATCGTCCAATCCAAATCGTGTAACGAACTAGACATCCGGTTGATAAACAACATGGACTTCAATGTGCCGATTTCGGATGACTGCAGAATATGCACAGCATGTGTACCGTCAACTGGGCAACGACAGATATATTAAAAATCTTTTCATGTTTTTAATGAAGGTGCTCAACTCAAGTGATTTGATGCACTTTGCAGGATAAGACCCATTTTACTGGTATTATCAAAAACTTTTGCCAGACTGTACTGGTATTATCAAAAACTATGCCAGACTGTACTGGTATTATCAAAAACTATGCCAGACTGTACTGGTATTATCAAATACTTTCGCCAGACTGTACTGGTATTATCAAAAACTATGCCAGGCAGTACTGGTATTATCAAACACTTTTGCCAGACTGTACTGGTATTATCAAACACTTTTGCCAGACTGTACTGGTATTATCAAAAACTATGCCAGACTGTACTGGTATTATCAAAAACTATGCCAGACTGTACTGGTATTATCAAAAACTATGCCAGACTGTACTGGTATTGTCAATCTCAATGAACAGGAAGGTGGCAAACAATCTTAATAATTGCTGTTTATATTCTAGCTCACCTTGAAACACATACACCGAGTTCTAAGATGCATCAAAAGTATTCGTCTTGTGGGCAGACTACAATTCCAAATGGAGCGTCCAAGCATCTTAATGCATGCCTGAGGCACACTTTGGAATAACACATTTCTATCTGTGTCTGTGGCGTGATGATGATCCAACACTTTAACTACCAAGTTACCCCCACCACCCTGTTTCTCTACACTACCGATAGTACATTAAGCAGTTCAGGGAACCCGTGAAGATCCAGGGTAGAATAGGTCTTCAGCAACCCTTGCTTGACGTAAAAGGCGACTATGCTTGTCGTAAGAGGCGACTAACGGGATCGGTGTGGTCAGACTCGCTGACTTGGTTGATGCATGTCATTGTATCCCAATTGCGTGGATCGATGCTCATGATGTTAATCACTGGATTATCTGGTCCAGACTCAATTATTTACAGACCGCCGTCATATAGCTGGAATATTGCTGAGTGCGGCGTTAAACAACAAACCAAACCAACCAAAACAAGGAATCTGTACCACTTGGGCGCTTTATCAAATAAACACTTTACCTTTCAGAGTCCCATTTAGTTCTGAGCTGCCGTCTGCTTTAACACCTGAAATGAATAACAACGTAATAATATCTCACAGAACCTGCTGAATTCCGCTGTATTTTGCAGAAATATGTCTATCTTGCAGAAAATTACATTTTGTGCAGAACCCTAGCAGAATTTTGCATCTCTCGAAGAATTTGTCAAATACACTGCAGAATTTTAACATGTGAGTTGAAAGGTGGTTTTATTTCATTTCAAGTTGACATTTGTATTATTGCTTACCGAAAGTGCCATTTTGTAATGTTGTGTACAACATTTTTATTTGCTCATAAATAACCACGGATTGAGGCAAATGGAAGCCAAGATTTAATCTCAGAGTGCAGGAAAAGGCGTTTTAGGGTAGAGAATTCTAAAATCTCAGTGAGTGAGTGAGCGAGTGAGTTGGGTTTAATATCGCTTTTAACAGTATTCCAGTCATATCATGGCGTGTCAGCTTAATGTGGGAGGAAAGCCCGAAGTGATGCAGGTCTCAGACGTTTACCACTTCGGTGAAAACCACGAGCATGGGTATGGTACTGACAAACCTAGAAACATAATCGGGGGAGCCGGGACTCGAACCCACAATCATAGGTTTCTGGCATGCCCAAGGGACGTAACTCGCACAGCGAAGCCCGACGCCTTAGACTACTGGGCCACCCTTGCCCCCCTAAAATCTTCAGAGCCCTGCTAGGTAGCTATGCGACCTCAGGTTCAGCTACTTCACGACCTTCACCATTTACTTGTAGGCCAGATAGAAGAGCCAGTAACTTTTAAAAGGAGCAAGCAAAAATTCCTTGTCAATGAGTCCTTGTCATAACCATTATAATTAAAGTGAGTGAGTACGATTTCCGCAGTTTTTCCGCAATATTCCAGAAATATTACAGTGGGCGACACCACAAAGGGGCTTTACACATACTATCCACGTGGGGAATCGAACCCAGGTCTGAGGAGTGAAACGTTCTAACCACAAGACTATCCCCCCGACCCCCACTCATATCAATGTATGATTTAGTACAGGAGGTCTCTCATGCATAACCTCCCATTAGTTTAATATCTTACAACAGAACAATTTATGGTTGAGTGCACAGCAAATCAACAGACTGTTACCTTAGCTACCTATGGGATAGTCCATTAATGAAAAACAATTAAAGCTTTTAATTACGCCACACTCAGCAATATTCCAGCTATATGATGGCAGTCTGTAAATAATCGAGTCTGGACCAGACAATCCAGTGATTAATATCATGAGCATCAATCCACGCAATCAGGATCGATGACATGCATCAACCAAGTCAGCGAACCTGACCACCCGATCCCATTAGTTGCCTCTAACAACAAGCATAGTCGCCTTTTGAGGCAAGCATGGGTTGCTGAAGACCTATTCTACCCTGGATCTTCATAGGTCTAATTACAAGAAGACATATCAGAGAAGAAAATCCCAGCATAAACAAACTTGAAGATCGAAAAGATTAATTTGTGGTTTGAAAAAGGCCTTCCTTGAATAAGGGAATAAACACAGTCTGTGATGACAGTTAAACTTTCAATTACAAGTGCACACATCTGCACATAGACTGCGATCACACTACACCGCTCTGAGATGGGCTGTAGGCATTATCCTACCGTATTTTCTTGAGTATACTGCGCACCCAAGTGTGATGCGCATCCCACTCTATAGGATTCAGTATTTTTTAAATCAAAGATTTCCTTGAGTATTATGTGCAGAAAAAAATACACCGTACCCCTTCAGCAAATTCAGATAAAAAAACGGGTGATAAGAAACTTGATCAGTAAAAAATTTAAATTTGAGATAAAAAAGCACCAGATGTTGATTTACAGTTTAAATTGTATCTTCTGTTCTGTAATTAATCCCTAGCTCAATGTCTGATAAGTGGGTGTCTAAGGCTAAAAAAAATAATAGTCTTGGTTCTCAGGCACTGCCCACGTCATCATAAAGTTCATTACACATTTCTTATTTTTTTTCCATTTTCCATTTTTTTTGTGCATTGTGTTTTAGTATTTGGAGTTTTATATTTTTTTGAAAATGGAAATAAAAACAAAACGTTTGGCAGGCTTTATGATGATGCGTGGTGCCTGAGAGCAAAGACTAATATTTATATTTGCCTGACTAATGACACGTCATCATTTCATGTCTCACTCTTTCTACATAGTGTGTACATGTTGCAGGTGTAACCTACCCTCGGTGATTAAAGGTGGTGGGTCGTTTCCAATTTTTTCAAAGTTTATCACCACTCCACTTTGCACTTTCTGCACCAGAGATTCTAGAGCTCCATTCAACATCTTCTGAGTGAAGACAGCATACGACCGACCTGAAACATGTCATGATAGAAGTACTGCTGACAGTGAGTTGTTTATGCTGCACTTGCAATATTCCATCTATACAACGACAGTGTCTGGACCAGATTCTCCAGTTGTTAAATGTTGAAGTTTGTTTGTTTGTTTGTTTAACGCCGCACTCAGCAATATTCCAGCTATATGACGGTGGTCTGTAAATAATCGAGTCTGGACCAGACAATCCAGTCATTGACATCATTAACATCGATCCACGCAATTGAGACAAATGACATGCATCAACCAAGTCAGTGAGCCTGACCACCCGATCCCATTAGTTGCCTCTTACGACAAGCATAGTCGCCTTTTACGGCAAGCATGGGTAGCTGAAGACCTATTCTAACCTGGATCTTCAAGGTCATTAAATGTTAAAAGTTAGTTTGTAAACACATAACGAGATCTCATGAGAGCAAGACTACGTTCAAGATGGCGGCGCCCAGTGGGTGATATTGTGAGCAATGATCCACCACATCAGTGTATTATTAAACACAATCAGCGAGTGAGTGAGTATGGTTAAACGCCGCTTTTAGCAATATTCCAGGAATATCACGGCCGGTGGCACCAGAAATGGGCTTCACACATTATACCCATGTCGGGAATCGAACCCAGGTCTTCACTGTGACGAGCGAACGCTTTAACCACAGGGCTACCTAATCGCCCCTAAAACACAATCAAGTCATCAATGTATTTGCCAATAATTAAAAAAATTTGAAACTGATCTACCAAATGGTGCGTACAAACGTAAACAATATGGCCTCTCACCTCCTGTCACGTCACACATGGCGTCTATAGGGTGGGACTCCGCGGGCAGGATAAACGGGAAGGCATTTTCTGGCGGCACACTGCCAGGCATTCTGAGAACAATGCTGAATATTCTTTGGTCCCACCGAAATGGTTCCTTTGTCAACTCGGTGCCAGGAACATTGTTATTCATGGGCAGGTTCAACTGGAACAAATATTGCCTTGTCTTAGACTTGAAGCACCATTGAATAACAAATTTAGTCTTGTCCTATCATTGAAGTATTATAGAATAATGCTTGCCAAGGGTGACACCACACGTGTTTACACTTGTGTTTCGGGTGTATGTACGTATTTGTGTTTCCACCATCTGGTCATCTACCATTGGATGAGTGGGTTCTTTTGAGTGCACAGGGTGTATGTACGGTACACTAGGGGTAGTGACAACACTGTGAGGACCTGTAAACATTGTTGGCCCCAAGGCTGATTAACAACCTGGTCACTAGCGGGATACGATCTCAGCACCTGGCGCTTGCTAGCCTGGACAATTATCTGCCTTGTCACATAGGGAATTAACAGTACTCCCCAATATTAATGTCCGAGCAGAACCTGTTTATGGACAAAACACAAACATTCAACCACGGCAGAGTGTTACCTCAGCTTGCACGCCGTTCATGGTTGTGAGGTAGCCGCCATCAGTAATCACGATAATCACAGCTGGCTCCAAGAAGAATGGACTCCGCCCCTGCAATACACAACAAAATATGTATGGAATGTGCATTACAGTTTGAACAAAACTCATGGCCACAAATAGCCGTGGTTGATATTTTTGAGAATTCTGCATTGGGTTCTCATTGGTGGGAACAGATTCATTGGTTCAGTGATTTCTGAGGAGGTGATGTTTATAGTGCTAGGAGGTGATGTTTATAGTGCGAGGAGGTGATGTTTATAGTGCGAGGAGGTGATGTTTATAGTGAGGAGGTGATCTTTATAGTGCGAGGTGATGTTTATAGTGAGGAGGTGATGTTTATAGTGAGTAGGTGATGTTAATAGTGAGGTGATGTTAATAGTGCGAGGAGGTGATGTTTATAGTGCGAGGAGGTGATGTTTATAGTGAGGAGGTGATGTTTATAGTGAGGTGATGTTAATAGTGCGAGAAGGTGATGTTTATAGTGCGAGGAGGTGATGTTAATAGTGCGAGGAGGTGATGTTTATAGTGAGGAGGTGATGTTTATAGTGAGGTGATGTTAATAGTGTGAGGAGGTGATGTTTATAGTGCGAGGAGGTGATGTTTATAGTGCGAGGAGGTGATGTTTATAGTGAGGAGGTGATGTTTATAGTGCTAGCAGGTGATGTTTATAGTGCTAGGAGGTGATGTTAATAGTGCAATGAGGTGATGTTTATGGTGCTAGGAGGTGATGTTTATAGTGCGAGGAGGTGATGTTTATAGTGCGAGGAGGTGATGTTTATAGTGCTAGGAGGTGATGTTTATAGTGCGAGGTGATGTTTATAGTGAGGAGGTGATGTTTATAGTGAGTAGGTGATGTTAATAGTGAGGTGATGTTAATAGTGCGAGGAGGTGATGTTTATAGTGAGGTGATGTTTATAGTGAGGTGATGTTAATAGTGAGGTGATGTTTATAGTGCTAGGAGGTGATGTTTATAGTGCGAGGTGATGTTTATAGTGAGGAGGTGATGTTTATAGTGAGTAGGTGATGTTAATAGTGAGGTGATGTTAATAGTGCGAGGAGGTGATGTTTATAGTGAGGTGATGTTTATAGTGAGGTGATGTTAATAGTGAGGTGATGTTAATAGTGCGAGGAGGTGATGTTTATAGTGCGAGGAGGTGATGTTAATAGTGCGAGGAGGTGATGTTTACAGTGAGGAGGTGATGTTTATAGTGAGGTGATGTTAATAGTGCGAGGAGGTGATGTTTATAGTGCGAGGAGGTGATGTTTATAGTGCGAGGAGGTGATGTTTATAGTGAGGAGGTGATGTTTATAGTGCTAGCAGGTGATGTTTATAGTGCTAGGAGGTGATGTTAATAGTGCAATGAGGTGATGTTTATAGTGCTAGGAGGTGATGTTTATAGTGCGAGGAGGTGATGTTTATAGTGCTAGGAGGTGATGTTAATAGTGAGGAGGTGATGTTGATAGTGCAAGGAGGTGATGTTTATAGTGCGAGGAGGTGATGTTTATAGTGCTAGGAGGTGATGTTTATAGTGCAATGAGGTGATGTTTATAGTGCAAGGAGGTGATGTTAATAGTGAGGAGGTGATGTTTATAGTGCTAGGAGGTGATGTTTATAGTGCGAGGAGGTGATGTTTATAGTGCTAGGAGGTGATGTTTATAGTGCAATGAGGTGATGTTTATGGTGCAATGAGGTGATGTTTATAGTGCAAGGAGGTGATGTTAATAGTGAGGAGGTGATGTTTATAGTGCTAGGAGGTGATGTTTATAGTGCAATGAGGTGATGTTTATAGTGCTAGGAGGTGATGTTTATTGTGTGATGTGATGTTTATAGTGCGAGGAGGTGATGTTTATAGTGCGAGGAGGTGATGTTTATAGTGCTAGGAGGTGATGTTTATAGTGCTAGGAGGTGATGTTTATAGTGCGAGGAGGTGATGTCTAGTGAGGTGGTGATGTTTATAGTGCGAGGAGGTTATGTTTATAGTGAGGAGGTGATGTTAATAGTGCTAGGAGGTGATGTTTATAGTGCGAGGAGGTGATATTTATAGTGCGAGGAGGTGATGTTTATAGTGCTAGCAGGTGATGTTTATAGTGCTAGGAGGTGATGTTTATAGTGCGAGGAGGTGATGTTTATAGTGCGAGGAGGTGATGTTAATAGTGCGAGGAGGTGATGTTTATAGTGAGGAGGTGATGTTTATAGTGAGGAGGTGATGTTAATAGTGAGAGGAGGTGATGTTTATAGTGCGAGGAGGTGATGTTTATAGTGAGGAGGTGATGTTTATAGTGCGAGGAGGTGATGTTTATAGTGAGGAGGTGATGTTTATAGTGCGGAGGTGATGTTTATAGTGCGAGGAGGTGATGTTAATAGTGCTAGGAGGTGATGTTTATAGTGAGGAGGTGATGTTAATAGTGCGAGGAGGTGATGTTTATAGTGCGAGGAGGTGATGTTTATAGTGCGAGGAGGTGATGTTTATAGTGAGGAGGTGATGTTTATAGTGAGGAGGTGATGTTAATAGTGAGGTGATGTTAATAGTGCGAGGAGGTGATGTTTATAGTGCGAGGAGGTGATGTTTATAGTGCGAGGAGGTGATGTTTACAGTGAGGAGGTGATGTTTATAGTGAGGTGATGTTAATAGTGCGAGGAGGTGATGTTTATAGTGTTAGGAGGTGATGTTTATAGGGCGAGGTGATGTTTGTAGTGCGAGGAGGTGATGTTTATAGTGAGGACGTGAAGTTTATCGTGCAAGGTGTTGTTTATAGGAGGTGATGTTAATAGGGCGAGGAGGTGATGTTTATAGGGCGAGGAGGTGATGTTTATAGTGCTAGGAGGTGATGTTTATAGTGCGAGGAGGTGAAGTTTATAGTGTGAGAAGATGATGTTTATAGTACGAGGAGGTGATGTTTATAGTGTGAGGAGATGGTGTTTTTGTGCAAGGTGGTGAAGTTTATAGTGCGAGAAGATGATGTTTATAGTACGAGGAAGTGAGGTTTATAGTGTGAGATGTTAATTGTGCGAGGAGATGATGTTAATTGTGTGAGGAGGTGATGTTTTTAGTGCTAGGAGGTGATGTTTTTTGTGCGAGGGGGTGAAGTTTATAGTGCGAGGAGGTGATGTGTATAGTGCGAGGTGATGATGTTTATAGTGCAAGGAAATGCAGTTTGAGAGAATTTGAGGGCAAGTGTTTGATTGGCATTCTAGAAGTTGGTGAGTAAATAAGAAAACACAACTTTATGGATAACAACTTCTGATTTATTGCATTTCACTCCAGCTTGATAACGGTGGAAGAATCAACATCGAAATGTCACTACATGCAATATACCAGAAATTGTTATCCATAAAGTTGTGTTTGCTTATTTGGTCAAACCAAGGTGAAAGTTTCAATATCACTTAAAAAAACAAAACAAACAGAACAGAATGGCTTCATTAATCACGATGACCAATGATTATTTTTTGTATTTGGGGGGACGGACAACTTGCAATGACATTCATTCTGTGAGTGAGGTTGTGAGGGTGATGAGTGATTATGGTTTTACACCGCTTTTAGCAACATTCCAGCAATATCATGGCGGGGACACCGTAAATGTGCTTCACACATTGTACCCATGTCGGGAATAGAACCTGGGTCTTCGGCGTGACGAGCGAACACTTTAACCACTAGACTACCCACCTGCCCTCAGTTGAAGTTGATTGAGTAAGCCTGCCCTCAGTTGGGTAAGTATGTGAAGTTGATTGAGTAAGGTTGGGTTAGGGAGTCTTTTTGAGTGAGTGAGTGAGTGAGTGAGTGAGTGAGTGAGTGAGTGAGTGAGTGAGTGAGTGAGTGAGTGAGTGAGTGAGTGAGTGAGTGAGTGAGTGAGTGAGTGAGTGAGTGAGTGAGTGAGTGAGTTGGGTTTAACACGACTTAAACAGTGAGTGAGTATGGTTTTACGCTGCTTTTAGCAATATTCCAGCAATATCACGGCAGGGGACACCAGAAATGGGCTTCACACATTGTACCAATGTCTGGAATCGAACCCAGGTCTTCGGCGTGAGCGAAAGCTTTAACCACTAGGCTACCCGACCGCCCCCGACTTAAACAGAAATTCAAAGATAATCATGGCAAGTCAGCTTGATGAGGGAGAAAAGCCTGAATTGATGCTGATGTTAGCTGTTTACCACTTTTTGTGAAACCAGCGACAACATGCATGGTGCTGTCTACATAAATCAGGAGGAATCTGGAATTCAAACTCATCATCGCAGGCATTCTAAGGGATACAACTCTCCATAGAAATGAGGCACCACAGCCAAGTGGGCAATCCCTGTCCCCTCCAGACATGTTAAAGGCACACGATACATACCTGTCCGTATGTGTCAATCCCCGACTGCATGCGGTTGATGTTGAGCAGGTCAAACGCATTCTTCAGGGCAGGGCCGAGTGTGGACAAATCTCCAGCCTTCAGATTCTTCAACTCAGATATGAATGTAGCATGGCTCTCTTTCCACCCCGCCTGTAAAAATAAATATATATAATCATAAATGTCAATGCCATTCCACCCTGCCTGTAAAAATAAATATATATAAATATAAATGTCAACGCCATTCCACCCTGCCTGTAAAAATAAATATATAAATATAAATGTCAACGCCATAAGATTCGGGGTAGAATAGGTCTTCAGCAACCCATGCTTGCCGTAAAAGGCGACTATGCTTGCCGTAAAAGGCGTCTATGCTTGCCGTAAAAGGTGACTAACAGGATCGGGTTGTCAGTCTCACTGACTTGGTTGATGCATGTTATCGATCCCAATTGTGTGGATCGATGCTCATGATATTAATCACTGGATTGTCTGGTCCAGACTCGATTATTTACAGACCGCCGTCATATAGCTGGAATATTGCTGAGTATGGCGTTAAACAACAAAGCAACCAACCAACCACCCCGCCTGTAAAAATATATATATATAAATATAAATGTCAACGCCAGAGAATAATCAGTTTAGATTATATGCCGAAACAGATTCCATTGGCCATAAAAGGGAAAATATTGATGACAGTTATATGAATGGATCACTGAAAATCAGTGATGACACCAGGTGTTCACAAAAAGGAAAGCAAGTCCTGCACCCTCCACTCATACAATTTTCTAAAAATGTATCCTGTATCAATTTTCTTATCAGATACATTTTGGGGGTTCACAAAGTGGTTTTTGTTTAACACTGTTCTCGGCAATATTCCAGCTATATGACGGCTGTCGGTAAATAATCTGGGCCAGACAATCCAGTGACTGACATCATGAGCATCGATTTCCACAACTGGGATAAGATGACATGCATCAACCAAGTCGGCGAGCCTGACAGCCTCTTACAACAAGCATGGGCTGCCAAGACCTATTCTAACCCGGATCTTAACAAAGTGACATACTCGTATTGAAATATCACTAATATATCTGATGACATGATTGTAATTGTTACATAGCAATAGTTATTGGATTCCTCTTTCAACTGCTTCTTCCGTTCCTTATCAACTTAGATATGACTCCAAACTTGCAACCATCCGGAGTAACTTTTTAAACAAAATCTCATCTTTTCTTCATCAGACAGATCTGGGATTTATTCAGAATTCCAAACTAAGAGCAGTTGTCACTTGTCAGTAGGGCTACGACGAGTCCAACTTTACTACCTGGGTACCAGACCTACCGAGCAACTGCTATCTGTAGGAGAAACCATGTCTCCGAGGGATTCCTGGAGATTGTGAACCCTCACTTGAGGGACGTTCCCGAATATGAGGGTTTACAATCTCTAGTAATCTCGAGGAGACATGGTTTGTCCAACTTAAAAACCGACTCATCGCATAGACAACGTTTTTAATTGAATAACTGTAATAAAAACTCTCAAATGTATAACCTGTATCGGAGATGAAATATCGGCTGCAGTCGTGAACTCGGTTCAATGAAACCGGTGACCTCAGCATGTGGGATTCGCAACGGTGCGAAATCTGCACGTGAGTCTCGCAATGGCACGAAATCTGCACGTGCGTCTCGTAGGCTGTTCGTAGTTTTTGTTCTATCAAGGGTTTACAATGATTGTAAGCCCTCCTGCGAGGTGTTACCACAATTTCAAAAACTCCATATCGAGTTACACAAACAGCCAGTAGGTTTTTAAAAATCTCAAGAGATTGGGAATTGTTTTACCAGAGCTCTGGCAAAAAGTATTTAAATTCATGTATAAATTGATCTGGTCATGGACAACAACATACCACGCCATGGCTACATTTACACTGAAGTTGACTGAAGCCTTATCTTAACTCATATATAAAAGTCAGAAGGAATGCGTGCAGTCAGAGTGAGAGAGTGAGTATGGTTTTGCGGGCTTTTAGCAATATTCCAGCAATATCAGCGTGACGAGCGAACGCTTTAACCACTAGGCTACCCGACCGCCCCCCGCGTGCAGTCAGAAAGAAATGCAAACATTAGCTACTTGTAGTGTAACCATGGTGTTAATTTCCATCCTGCTTTGGACTATTTGGACTACAGTTACAGAATGGGATATACGTACAGAGCTCCAGATAAGGTGCATATCTGCGTGAAATACGCATCAGAAATGCAGAAATACACAGCAAAATATAATCCAAGCGTATCAAATACGCAACGAACATTACAGATACGCTACAAAAATAAAACTTGTGTGTATCATCAAAATATTGTGAAGTAACCCTGCGTATTCGATTAGCAAATCAGCAACTTATTTTGAAATTATAAACGGGCATTCCGTCAACCTTGCCAAACTCCACGATGACGGTTACATCATGATCATTTGCCATCACACTTTCTTGTGGAAGTATCGTGGTATTTTTGAGTCCTATAAAGCTCTCGAACCCACACGACACCAGTTTGCAGGGACTAGATGAATAGTGTTTTTAAATATTTAACTTAAATACCCACATGTGTAAAAACTAGTGGGTAACAGAATTTTGAATACGCAGATAGAATTACTGATACCCAATAATTTTAAAATGCATGGTTAAAATACCCACAACACCAAAAGCTTATCTGGAGCTCTGTACGTATAAAGAATCAACTTGCATACTATGCACAGACTATCATCATGTCTGCCTGTATAATCTGTAATCTGCATATTTACAGCTCCAATTTGCTGCTGGTGGTTTGTGATAGGGTCCCACCAAATTCAGAATGTAAAAACAACAACATAGAAACGAGTGTGGTTTTTCAACTATCAACTTTATCAAGAATTATTCATGATTTGATCCTTCATTATAATGTGGTAGTGCTGTAATTTATTATAATCTGCTCCAGAGAATACTCTCTACCAGTATTGTGTTACTGTAATTACGATTTGGGTTTTACTGGATGCAAAATATTACATCTTATATGCTGCAAGTTATTATAGTGAGTGAGTGAGTGAGTGAGTGAGTGAGTTGGGTTTAACGCCGCTTTTAACAGTATTACAGTTATGTCACGGCATGTCAGCTTAATGTGGGAGGAAAGCCCGAAGTGATGCAGGTCTCAGATGTTTACCACTTCGGTGAAACCCACGTGCCCGGGTATGGTGCTGACAAACATTGAAACATAATCGGGGCAAACCGGGATTCGAACCCACAATCATAGGTTTCTGGCGTGCACAAGGGACGCAACTCTGCACAGCGACAGACAGACGACTGGGCCATCCGTGCCCCCACAAGTTATAAGAATGGACACAAACAATTCACATTGCAAGTCTTTGAGGTATAAAATAGGATGGCTGTTTAAATTATTAGATTTATCAAAATTGTGGATTGCAAGTTTCAAATAAGTGATAATTCTATTCTAGTTAGAAATAAAAGAAATTTCAGGGATTTAATGACGGATTTTCTTATATCTTACGAAACAGGTTCAGAGGTCCAGATAAGCTGCATATTTCAGTGCTTGACACTGTCCAAAATGTTCAGTGGTCCAAAGCAACAGGACAAAAATAAATCTGCTAGTCGTGTTGGATCTCTACTAGACAGTGTGTATGGTTTTATGTCGCTTTTAGCAATATTCCAGCAATATCACGGCAGGGGACACCAGAAATGGGCTTAACACATTGTACCCATGTGATGAATCGAACCCAGGTCTTCGGCGTGATGAGCGAACACTTTAACCTCTAGGCTACCCGACTGCCCCTCAACTAGATACAATGATGCAAGGAAGTTAGACTTGGTCTATCATTGATTAAAAGTCATCGATGAATTTAAGTCATACAAACTTAAATTACTTTGTTCGTCCCCAAAAGAACACCAGACCACTGGACCACCATTTAATTTTACTGGTCTATAAGAAAATATACTAGACACGGTTCAGTGTTATTGTTAGTGTTGAGCACTGTGTTTGCGTAAAATGTGCAAAATATATGACGATTAGTGGCATTAACCCATTAATATTTAACTGCTTGCATACAAATTAGCACAAAAAATGTCGCAAACCTTCTTTTAACACCGCACTCAGCAATATTCCAGCTATATGACGGCGGTCTGTAAATAATCGAGTCTGGACCAGACAATTCAGTGATTGACATCATAAGCATCAATCCATGCAATTGGGACACGATGCCGAGCATCAACCAAATCAGTGTGTCCGACCACCTGATCCTGTTAGTCACCTCTTTCGACAAGCATAGTCACCTCTTACGACAAGCATAGTCACCTTTTACGGCAAGCATGGGTTGCTGAAGACCTACCGTAATCGACGTAATAAGCGCCCCGCTCTAATAAGCACCCACAGCGATATTTGCTAATATATTGACCAGTGAACAATCCCAATTAGCACCCCTTCGGGTTGATCAATGTACACAAGACTTATTTATTTGTGTATAATACGCACTCGTGTGTTATATGCACCCTTAATTATAGGCAGTTAAATTCTGGAAAAATATATATGTTGTATATAAATATTTCAGGCTGTCAGCATAAACCACGAAATTTATCTTTCAACTCTGTTGTTTTTCACCAAAATAATATTCTTATAAGGGCCCCCTCTTTCTAATTTTGAGAGAGCCCTGGGCGCTTATTACGTCAAATACGGTATTCTATCCAGGATCTTCATGGGTCTAGAGGACTGTGACTGGTGTTTGATAGGAGGATTGTTTCTTAATCTGTGCAAAATCACTAACATATGGAGTTAGTTCTTTATGAACTTTTCTAATTTGTTCAGATGTGTGCACATGACCTGGATGCTTGTCACATCATAGCTGTGGATGCATTGTGTATACATATTCATTCAGTATCTTTAGACAAATTTCACAAAATATTCTTTTGAATGATTTGTTCATATAACTTTCCTTGGAGAAAAATAATATAATTACTAAGTATATATATAGCATTATATTACATTAAAAACGCTACTATGTGGTCATACTATGTATATTGCATGTGAGATGGCTGCAGAATTCAGTAAGGAATTATAATTCATTTTTAAATCTTTGCAGTCATTTTCATACTATTTCCTTCATAGTGACCCGGGCGATTTGAATATGCTAATTAGACCTTGTTGCTTAGCATACCCAGAGTGCATTGCGTCAGAGGAGCAGGAAAATGGCGGGTGTGCAGCTGGAGAATTTACCTCTGCAGTTTGTGCCTGCTTTTAGCTTCTCGTTGGGGGTGGGGTAAAAGAAATGTGGCTTTGTCCACTGGCCCAATGCAGAACTAATCGACCATATCAATTTCAAAGGGAACGTACTGCCTGACACTTGGATTTTACCTTAACATTAGCAGGAGGATCTTCAAATGTCAGTAGCATGTATCGGTCCCATCGGCTATTCGGATCGCGGGATCTTATCTGAATAAAGAGAAAGAAAACATTGATTTAGCGAGGCTGTCACCACATATGGTCATTCCTCAAAACATCCGATTACCGCGATTTAAGCTGATTTAGTCAGCTTTACCTTCATAAATGTCTCAACTGCTGCTTTAGCGACATCGATAAGGGCTGTTCCCATGTACGTGCGTTGATTCATCGACGCACTAGTGTCAAGAAGAAATAATATGATCGTCATATTTGTTTGATATCGGGGAATGAGGCCTATATCTTCACCAGCCGCATGAAACGGCGGATTTTGTCGGAACCCCCAACAATCCCCCTTCCCTCGAACAATGGCGCACCTCGACTAGCTGCTTTCGACAGCTCGAGCACGCCACGAACACTAACCACGTGACTAGAACGCCATTATATTTTGATTGGTTGATTATTTTGTATATCGGGGTCAATTCGTAAGACTAAAATTCTTCGGCTGCATCGGCACGATCAGTTACCACGTATGTAAATGTTTTTGTTTTTCATATCGATTTCTTGTATTTATTTAAGAACGCAAGATATGTCTCAGATGCTGTTAATCTGTCTTTCCTGCATAATTTCGCGTCTAACCACCGCTTTGAAAAACGGGTCAAAGAAGCCTCCCTCGCGTCGGTACCCACGCGTTTAGAGTGATTGTTGCATGGGAGATGGGATGCAAGCGTATTTGAGGGTTGTCTCGTTAGAACATATCCACAAAGGTACAAACAGCACAAATAATACATCATACAGAAGACTACAACACCATTTTAAGGAAGATATTAACAGTAAAGCCCGGATGTCCTCGTATTAAGGTCAATCGCAGCTATTTATAGCGACAGGTGCTCCCCTTGTGTTGACAAAACTCGCCGGTTTCACTGGCGAGGTATCTCCACATTAATATAATTGTTTTGCTCTGTCTTACCAAGTAAGTTATGTCGAGACGAGGTGTTTATGTCATAAGATGAAGTTTAGCAATTTGAACACAGCATTCGAATCCATGCCTACTGACAAGCAGTAGCTAACACGTAGCTTCAAGCCGTATGTGAAGCCAAATTTAATTTCAAATTTCCGGTATCTGAAATTATGATGCTCTTTGAAAGGATTCTTTTGTTTGTTTAAACCACCATGAATTTTATATATATCTAAGTAATGTCAAAATGTCCTGTTTGAAATATCTTTGAAGTGAAACAGGTTCTTAATTTTTATTGAGTTGAATTCTCTTGAAAAAGATTCTGCTGATCTAAGACATACATTAATGGTTTATTATTAAAGTTTTTAAGTATTTCAGAGTTAACTGATATTTTGATATGTTTGTATTTAAGTAAAATGAAATTATTGGATCTATGAGACAACTACTAGAAAAAAACAACTGTCTTTCAGAATGAAATAACAACATTGATGATAAGACGTGGGGATGATCGCTGGTCCTGCTATAAACTAGTTCTGGTCCTGGTGATATCAGCATCCGTGTCCAATATTGCATGTCACTATGGAAATAATGGGCTTATACCACATTTTAACACTTGTAATAACGACATGTCACATGACCTCTACATGTCCTGATGGATGTCAGTGTGACGAAGGACAAGAGAACCAGCTAATGCATGTAACCTGTCAAGGTAGAGATACTATTCCCCTCATGAAGAATGTTCTGTCTATCAACATGAGTGCAAACGGCATCACAGTTATGCATGGAAAATCTTTGGAAAAATCACCAGCTCTGAAAATGCTTGACTTGAGTTTCAACAACATAAATAGAATTGAAATTGATGCAATAGCGGCTAGTGTTGTTCCCGAGCTTGTTTCACTAAATCTTTCTCATAATCATTTGACTTCTGTGCCCCAAAATATGACGCCAAGCTTGCAGTATATCAGACTGAGTTCAAATGATATTGACATTGTTCGCCTGAGTGATCTGTGTCATTTGAAAAATGCTATTCATGTTTATCTGGATCGTAACAAACTAGGGGAGATAATCCCAACTGGGCAGCATGACGAAGACTGTGATGTTGGTTTGGAGAAACTTGAAATCCTCTCATTTCGCGACAACCTCATCGAGAAAATAGACAGGACGATGTGGAAACATGTTAGGGGTGTGAGGTATTTGTCTTTCGCTTACAATGGAATAAAAACACTCAAAGAAGATACTTTCAAAGGACTGAGAGGTTTGAGGTATCTTGATTTGACTGGAAATAGAATTAAAACTATTCACCCTAAAACTTTCAAACATTTGCAGGATTTGAAATTTTTATCACTATCCCGGAATTACATAGAAGATATTCCTGACGACCTCCCCATGATAGAATGGTTTGATATCTCCAACAATAGAATCACTGTGGTTCCTGAGAAAAAGAAAAGCTCACTTTATCCACAAGAAGTATTTCTGTTTGGCCAAAACCCTTTGAATTGTGTGTGTGAAATGCTGTGGTTAAAGGAATTGTTTGATACGAGAGAATATCAGCTGAAATACATTGACGTAGAAACGGAAAAGTTTATTCCAGCGTGCTCGACTCCTGACCATCTCCATGGGGACACATGGGATGTGCTGGCCAATGAAGCATTTGGTTGCAATCAGCCTCTTTCTGGAACAGCCAATGAAGATGAAGATGACAATCTGTTGTGGAGACTGAAAGATCTCTCGGTCCGAGTTGCTGAGATAGGGGATACGTACCTGAAGGTTGAATGGGATTCTGTGAATATTGGTGTGCCTTCAAAGGAAAAGCATGTCGTTGTGTTTAACATTCATAAATTTGGTAGAAAGAAGCAACTGACATCTGTGTCTGTTCATCCTCAGATAGGGAGGTATGTTTTGAAAGCTTTGAGTCCTGCCTCTGGGTACATTATCTGTGTGACCGTTGTGTCCGAGAAATTGCAGGAACCAAGAAATGTGTACAGTTCTGATAACTGCTTGGAGATTGTGACAAGGGAGACAACTGTGACAGAGGTGTATTGGGTGTGGCAGATGTTGATGAATCCTACATTTTATCTTTCTGTGATAACTTTGTCAGTTTTTGTCCTGTATTTTAACGTGTGGTGACAGTATGGCCAAAATATAAGTTTTTTGTTTCTTGTTGGGATAACAAGTCACTGTTTTTTTTATAAATAAACACAATTTTTTTGGTGTCCAGAATGGTGATGAATCCAACATGTTATCTTTCCAAAGTAACCTTGTTTTTTTCTTGTATTGAATGTGTGATTGGCCAAAATAAAATAAAAATTCTTGTTGGTTTAAAATTGATGTAAAACGTTTTTCAAGTATTGTGTCTAGACTCCCTTATGGCCTAAGGGGCGGTGGGATAGACTACTAATTGAAGCGTTCGCTCATCACGCTGAAGACCCAGGTTCGATTCCTGACATGGTCACATTGTGTGAAGCCCATTTCTGGTGTCCCTCGCCGTGATATTGCTGGAATATTGCTAAAACCATACTCACTCACTAATGCCATAAATAGAACATGTATGACATGACACTGCACAACCATACAAGAAACCATAGTTACCAAATTGTCTTAATTTATTATAAAATGAGTTTCAACATTTAATTGCTATGTGATCCAACAGGGACAGCCCGTTTCAGAAACAGGGCAAGAGATCCATGGAGTGAGTTTGGCTTTAAGGTCATGAAACATTGGACTCTGCAGGATTCCACAGATCTCCGGATAACCTTTTAAGCAATTGAGTTTTTTCTTGAAAGTTTGGGTTATTATATTTTTCATTGGGTTACCAATATTTTTCCACACATCTATTCATCACTCTACTGGGTTTTTCCATAAATGAGTTAACATTTTCAGATTTAAAACAAAGGAAATAATGTTTTAGATGTAATATGACGGTTCTAAATATAGGCTTGACTCGGAAAGTAAATTAACTTGTAATTGTGTTTCGGAAATAAGCTCTGTTGTACGCATGCTGAAAAAGCTTCATTGCGTATTTACGCGTGCTGTTTTCGAACAATTGAGTTTTCCATCTAATGCACCGCTTCTGTACGCAAGTTAATTGAAAGTTACTGGGTTTTGAATTGTTTTGGGGAGTATTTTATGAAAAAACGCAGCTTTTCTGTATCTCTGATTCCATTTGAGAAACTTGCTCAACTTGCACAAGGTGCATGTTGACATGAAAACAAAGTCGCACCCACCCAAAAAAAACAGGTTGGTCCCGGATCCCATAATTTATCAAGTTGAGACATGGGCCATCTGCTGTCAGTGTCATATAAATAAATGACGCATTGCTGTAAAACACAATAAGAACATGCAGCGGTGGAAACTAACATTTTTGGTCCACCAGTCCTTATAATGATAATACCGTATTCGACGTAATAAGCGCCCCGCTCTAATAAGCGCCCACGGCGACATTTGCTAATATATTGGCTAGTGAACAAGCCCAATTAGCACCCCTTCCGATTGATCAATATACACAAGTTTTATTTATTCTCGTATAATACGCACTCGTGTGTTATATGCACCCTTAATAATGGGCAATTAAATTCTGGAAAAATATGTCTGTCGTACATAAACACTTCAGGCTGTCAGCATAAACCACGAAATTTATCTTTCAACTCTGTTATTTTCACCAAAATAATATTCTAATAAGAGCCACCTATTTCTAATTTTGAGAGCGCCCTGGGCGCTTATTACGTCGAATACGGTATATAGCAAAACCCTTAAAAATGGCAAATTTCTACTAGTCCTTATGAAACCTTAACTATTGGGCAGTTTGGCAAGGACTACAGGACTAGTGCCAATTTCCAACCCTGACATGTGCACATAATCTGAAAATATAGCCACTGTTTGATGGCGTCAATCCTAAGAAAGCATGACAAATTACACAGGGGTTGGTAATGAAGTATGGTACATAAACCTTAGAGGTATTGAGTGTGTTCAAGGATAGATTTTTGTGTGGACAAGTTAGGGTTAGGCAGACTAATGAAAGTTTTTGACATGCACTGTGAAAGTCCAGTTTCCACCCTTGCTGAACTAAGCTGGAATTCTGGAGTTACATTTTGGCTGGACTAACGAGTCAATGCATTGTCAAAGTCGCGTAAACTAGACATCCGGGTCATAAACAACACAGATTTCAACATGCAGATTCGGTCGAGTGCAAGATTTGCAAAGTATGTTTACCATCGACATTGCGTCAACAGATATTTTGCAAATCTTTTCATGATTTTAATCAAGGTGCTCAAATGATTTGATGGACTTTGCAGAGAAAGACCCGTTTTTTTACGATATAGATCTTGATCTTCGATCAGATCATCTTGGCTGGGCGACTCCATTTTGTTTGAAGCAAATGCAAGTGATATGAGAGAGATGGAATCTTATTGGTCAGTAGGAAGGACATAGAAGGGACATAACTCGTAACAGCCACTGATGGCGCTACTATCGAGCTTGGATATTCCAGCCTAGTTCGGCGAGGTTGGAAACTGGACTTTTAAAGTCAGTTAACTCCCTTGCCTCGTGAAGATGACGATCTTTGGGGCATTTCAATGATTTGGAAGACAGCCAGTGCCCTAGAAAATGAACCAATCTCAAACCCTGTTTGTAAGGCTCGCATTTCTTGTATGCTCAATAGATCGTCTATTTTTACAAGGTTTGAAAATGAGCTTTTCTTTAACAATTTGCTTGTTTGGAAGATATGCATTCTAAGGAAGGAAACATACTGCCTTTTGGCTCTGTTGTATGAGGGTCCTGATGGGTGGGTGGGTCCCATAAGCAGTAAGCAGTAAAATTTAGGGAACTTTTTCATTAAGCAGTAATTTTTCTTCTTGTTCACTAAAATCGTTGTGACAAATTCCTAAATCAGCCATGGTAGGACATGGGACTTTTAATTCTTCTTTCGTTTCATCCTGACAATTCATATATCTAATACCAGGTAAAATCTCAAATCGCTAAACATTCTAGACTGGTCCCCTACGTCAGTTGCGCAGCCTGCTTTCTGTGGCGAAGCATTTGGATCTTGAAGACAGACTGTTTTTGACCATTTTAATCATTTTACGATAAGCAGTAAATTATTTATTTACGTTAAGCAGTTATTTTTTGGTATTTTATGATAAGCATTTATGTTAAAAAAAGATGACTTTTTACGTTTACGATAGTGTTTGAAGGGTGTTTTACGTTAAGCATTAAAACCTATGAGATTAAGGAGTTGCGGCAAAGGCGGCCCAGTCGACCACAGGCACCACAGTTGGCAGTTCAGAGTTGTGACCCTTAGGCATGCCAGGAGCCTGTGAATCTGGGTCCATGTTGTTATGTTTGTCAGCATCATACCCGTGTTTGTTGTTATTATGCCTCAAAGTGAGATTGACCAATCAGAGACCAGAACTACTGACCCACATGAGCCCGTATACCGTCAGCAAAATCCAAGATGGTTGATACTGACCTAATATGAGACCGTATAATGTCAGTAACAGCCATTTTGGATTTTCCAACACCCACCTCACATATTTCTGGTACAGAAATTCGTTATTTGACACTGTTTTGTGTTTTAATATCATTATTTTTGATGTGCAAGGGTGTTAATGTTTTTTTATATCACGTTCGTGACTTTAATAAAGATTATATAAAGTTAAAATTATCAACAAGGTTTGGCCTCTGAGGTTTGAAGAGTAGTCTCCCTTTGACCCTGAACGTCTTAGGTTGTAAGTGTTAGGTTTTGAGTTTTAAGTTTTGACATGACATGTGAGACAAATATACCAAATAGTGTAAACCTTTCTGCATAATAAATTCGTTATGGTGTCTTTAGTTGCTGTATAGGGTGCCATATTAGGTTAACAGAAACATATTGGACGAGGCTCCTCGCCCAATATTTTTCTGCTAACCTAATAAGACACCGTATACGGCAACTAAAGACACAATAACTAATAATATCACCACAGTAATAAATGTTAAATATTTGCATCAGGCTTTCCTTCAACATTAAGCTGACATGCCTTGGTATGAGACCCATGAAGATCTGGGGTAGAATGAGTCTTCAGCAACCCATGCTTGCCGTAAAAGGCGACTATGCTTGTCGTAAAAGGCGACTAACGGGATCGGGTGGTCAGGCTCGCTGACTTGGTTGATGCATGTCATCGATCCCAATTGCGTGGATTGATGCTCATGATATTAATCACTGGATTGTCTGGTCCAGACTGGATTATTTACAGACCATCGTCATATAGCTGGAATATTGCTGAGTGCGGCGTTAAACAACAAACCAACCAACCAACCTTGGTGTGACTGAAATGCTGTTGAAAGCAGTGTTAACCTGACACTCAAATTCCTCTCAGTTGTACATACTGACCAAGAAAAGAATCCACAAAACAAGAAATATTTTGGTCTGGCCTACATTTCTAAATACCATGTGCACTAATATGCACTGTTGTGCAACACAAAAACACGTTTTAGTTCCTCTAGCAAACAGGATGTAAGATGACCTACTTTCCAGCATGTTGTTACTGTCATCTTAACAGTAGGGACTAGTCATGTATTATAGAGGGGAGCAGAGTTTGGTCTTGGGACTGACTATCTTATTTTGATATAAATTGATTTTGATACAACAGCAAGCTTCATGCAACAGCCATTACTTCCTGGTGCTATGTATATGTGTGCTGATAGCACAGTCGGCCTTGAGTAGCATGTCCTTACAGATGTGTGGTGGGTAGCATGTCCTCAACAGACATGGGCTTGTTGGTACTTAGAAGTTACATTTGTAAAACATTTGATGGGATTGTTTGATAATTACTGGTCTAATACCTATGCAGTTGAAGTGAGGGGTTGGTTGGTCATGGAAACAATCCCTGGTGGCTGGTTCGAATCCCAGATTTGCCTTGAACATGTTGGATGTACAGGGGTCGATTTAACAGCTGGCATATTGGCCCATGGCCAGTTAAAATTACAAAGGGCTTGCTGAAACGTAAAGTAGATGGTCTGTCTGGCTTGTCAAATTTCACCCCTACTCCGTGTATGTTTAATTTTTTATAAAATTAGACACTGCTCGTGAATTGTTTAATTTCTATAAAATATTTAGAGGGGATGAGGTCACATGAATGGTTAACTCAAAGAAAAATATATATCAATCATCTTGGTAGAATGACAACCGGCGGCCATATTGTAATGTTGTGTATGACAACATTTTTATTTCCTCATTAATCATGACGCAATGAGGCAAATGCAAGCCAAGATTTAATCTCAGACTGCAGGAAAAGGCATGTTGGGGGTGAGGGGTTTTAAATGTTCAGAGTCCCCAGTCTCCGGTTCAATTAACATGCGTAAAGAAACATGCATTAAATGAAAAACTCAAATGTATAAAAACATCATGCGCAGCTTTTTCAGCATGAGAACAAAAGAGCTAATTTCCGAAACACAATTACAAGCTAATTTACTTACCGATCCTTGCATTTAATTAGAACCGTTATATACTTCTAAAACATTTCATTTTTTTTAAATCTCAAAATGTTTCTCATTTAAAAAACAACAAGAGTGATGAATAGATGAGTGAAAAAATATTGGCTACCCAATGAAAAATGTAATAACCCAATTAAACTAGTAACCTTCGAGTAAAAACTCAAAAAATTATCTTGAGCTCTGCCTTAATGACCACATGAAAGTTTAACATGTTTAAGAGCATGTCTAACATCCCTCAACAATTTGAAAGAAAAAACTTTTAATTCGGAAAAAATAAACTCGCGAAGGATCGTTATAGATCATTTTTGAAGAATTTGTAGCACTGAATAAAAACAGTCATGTGGTCCTGTCATTGGATTAAAACTGTTTCATTCTCACATGTAATAAATATTTCAACAAATACATCATCAATTATTATGTCATTGTCTTTACGTTTTCTTTGTAATTGATCTCAAATCAAGATAAGAGCAAATTTTGTAAAAAAGAAAGAAAGAAAAATAGAGTAATCTCAGAAACCATGGAAACCACTGATAATGATGATGGAATGTTTCATGTATATTCTTTGAGAAAACTTCATCAGCACCTATATTTTGCCACTATTCACAATTTTGCAAAAATAACATGAGGCTTCTCAAAGACAGTTGTACCAAATGACCTGAAAATATTTTCTACTCAAAAGAAGTAAAAGAACACTCAATTTTTTTCAAATTCGTACAGTTAATCTGTCATGGCCATAAGCTTTCTTTGAATATTACATTGGTGCCAGATGTTTTCGTGCATTAAGATGATGACATAACAGTCGGTTGATATTAGACGTGTTGAAACTCTCGTAACGGCCAAGCATCCTATACCTGCCAGCTTATCAATGCATGCAGCTCCGCTGATATTGATGGTGTAACTGAAAATACACCAGATGGCCTTTATTACTGAAATTTTAAAACAACCTCATCATTTTTATCTCCCTCTTTATTTGGGAAGTTTTGGTGGACCAATTAATTAGTGATGAAGTGCTGTATCTGGGTTAACGTCCCACCTTGTTCAGGCCAGTCAATGACCAAGTCTCACATGATCTACATGCTTTTCAGTGCTGTAGTCCATTCGTTCTGTCCACTTGATCTGGCAAATAATTGATACCAACATTTACCTGACAGTTGATGCATAACAAATAATTGATGCAGGCTGTCGTAGGTGTGGACGGAAAGATCCATTGATTGGCTGCTTTAAAGGAGTGAGTGATGTGCTGCAGTCGGAAGTATTCATGATATCTGTGAGGACCCGGGATGGGATAGGCCCCCAGCTCTCTCTCCCTCGGTTATCCAGTGGATTTTATCTCTGTTGTTTTACTCTGTTCTGTTAAGTCCTCTTGACCAATGAAGATTTGGGATAGAATAGGTCTTCAGCAACCCATGCTTGCCGTAAAAGGCGACTATGCTTGTTGTAAGAGGAGACTAACGGGATCGGGTGGTCAGGCTTGCTGACTTGGTTGATGCATGTCATCGTATCCCAATTGGGTAGATCAATGCTCATTATGTCAATCACTGGATTGTCTGGTCCAGACTAGATTATTTACAGACCGACGTCATATTGCTGGAATATTGCTGTGCAGCAACAAACAAACAAACAAACTCTGGATCCATTTGCTTCCACAGCTTCTTTCTGAGTCAGATTCAAATGACACAATGCTCATGTAGAAATCAGGAAACAAGCTGACTGAAATATACCTAGTGGGACAGATCGAAGTCAGGATTCGAAATTCCTTCTATTACCAACGTCACTCTTTAAATCCTAAGGGAATAGTTCAAATAAGTTCCTTGCACCCAATGGGCACACTTGGAAATCCAATTCAGCATTTTCGAAAAACATTTTGTGATTTGTGTGATTTATACAGATCCATTGATAGATGTTCCTTCGCAGGAGTCATCTTGAAAAACATGTAAAATGCACTGTTGGATCCATGACCTGGTGATTCAGAAATTGTTACATTCTCAATGAAAAGGAACGTGGCAAACTTTCTTAACAACCGCAGCTGGGGGCTGGGACGAGTACAGATTTACTACCCGGACACCCGAACCCCTATTGCCCAACCCTTCCGGGTACCTGCTGTAGGTCTCGAGAGATCGGCACCGAATGTCCGATTAGGAATTGTTTTACCAGTTCTGACAAAAAGTATTGAAATACACATATAAAACAAGCTGGTCATACATACACTGAAGTTGGCTAAAGCTTTATTCAAACATATAAAAGTCAGAAGGAATGCATGCATAGTCAGAAAGAAAAGCAAACATAAGTGACTCTTAGTGTAACCATGAAGTTTTGTCATTAAAGAATGCATCACGTGACTAACCACGGGTGCGGGTAGTCCTGTGGGTTCCCAGGTCCTACTCAGTACCCACCCAATCCGAGTACACGAGAAACCGGTCCAAGCAATAACGACAGCTTGTTGAAGCCCATGGTGGGATGACATTCACGGAGGCGGAAGATGGAGGAAAAGTGTTCTCCTTATAGGCACACCTGAACCAATCTCATTAAAATCAGATCTTAGTTCTTGCTTCCGCTGAACAAAGATCTGAGGACATCCCATAAGGGTCAGGTCAGAACGACCTTTCATCCGACCAATCAGAGCGTCGCTTACCAGATCATGAAGGTGACAGTCAGAATGTGATTTCGAACCATGCAACCTCGAAAACTTTAACACTGGTTGTTCCGAATGATAGTAACAGGCTTAACAACTGAATCCATACAATCTAGACCATCTATTAGCCGTTCGAGGTTCTTTTGTTCAGGTTTCACATTTTTAAACGAGAAATTTGTCAAAGTATGTTTCGAAAGGTAGTCACCAATTTGAAATTAGTGCCGTAAAGCATGAGAAATCTGCCTTCTGATTGGCAAATGTCGACTTTTGTCAGTCATTCCATTGGTCAGTCAAAGTTGGCGCAAGGTCAGTCTGAAGTGAGCCCTAATAGGATGTCCTCAGATCTTTGTTTAGCGGTAGTGAGAACTAAGATCTGATATTAATGAGATTCTAATCTTTCTGAATGCCCAGGGACACACTTAAAAAAACATACATTTCTATCACTGGAAGTAATATATCTGAGAATGTGTTTGTATTTAGTTTGGCCCTCTGGCTTTCCTCGCTCGCGGTTTTACATTTTCAACCAAAACCCTGGAGGTGTGTTTTATCCAACTTATAAACTGTCTAAATGCAAGAAATATCAGAAAAAAATAAGAAAACTTTGACATACCTTATAATGAAACAATACAGTATATCACAGTATAAAAGGAATTCGCCAAAACCATGTGCAGCATGGACTAGCTGGAGTCATGACATGATAAATTGAACAACTTCTCATCACCTGCCCGGTAGCTCAGTGGGGAACAGTGTGTTGCAAGGTTTGATTCACGTCATGGAATTTTCATGTGAAATTTTTGTGTGACTTTTAACCAATCATCAAACACACTTGTGTTCACATCAAGTTTATAAAACGTTAATTGTATTACAATTGAAATGTAAATCCTCAAAGCAGGTTAAGAAGTGACCCATTTCAAAAACCTTTGGAAGGGAACCGCTTCAAAACCTAGGTTAGGAAGATGAGCTGGTTACCAGGTTTACCCGAGGTTGTCAGGAACCTAATGCAATATGGGGTAATACGGTGATAGGTTTATAATAGATCAGATCAAGTGTTGACTGTTTTCTGAATGATTCTGACCAAACATTGAAATGAGTGAAAAAATACTTTATGAATCAAAACGCTGTTTGATTTGAGATACTGTTTTTGCCATCATAAGCATGCTGGCCGCTTAAAAAAATGACAAGGAGGGACTTTATCAAACCATATACAACACGTTAAATTTGTTTTCAGAGATCTAACAGTAGTTCAAAGGGCGATAAAACAAACACGTTTTTCATAGTTATTAGGCAGTTATCTCCTCTTTTGACGCTGCTGCTTTTGTACATGTATGTAAAAAGTCTGTAATATAAAAAAAAAATAAGGTTTTGGTTCTTACAGACTGGTTTTGAAGTTGATACAGTGAATTCGGTATTCTTCATTTGGACATATTTTCTTTTGTATCTCTGTCACATAACTTTTCCCATGAGGTTTTTTTAAGAAATTAACCTCAATCCAACCACGACAGGTTTGATGTTTTGCCTACTTTTTTACCTGATATTGATCTGGTGCTGAGGATGAAAATGGACTGAACAAAGTTTGTTTGTTTTAGGTTGATGATCTCTCTGGCCAAGATGGATGCTACCCAAGTGTGGCGGATCCTGGTGGTTGTGCGTCTGCTCAGCGTCTTCGTGCCGCAGTCCGGATATCTCCACCCAGATGAGTTCTTCCAGACCACGGAAGTTGTCGCAGGTATGTACAGAAATGGTGAGGTGAGGTGAGGTGAGGTGAGGTGTGGTGAGGCGAGGTGAGGTGGGGCGAGGCGAGGCGAGGTGAGGTGAGGTGAAATTGGGTTTAACATCGCGCCCATGATTATTGCACTTATATAGCGATGTGCATGTAAGTGTGTGTGTTTGTGTGGCTGCTTGTACTAGTCCGGACTGATGCCGATTTATATGCTAGCCCATTGAGATACCATGCCACAGTTTAACATGAATGCCCCACTCAGACACAGTATACTGACTCCGAGCCGACCAGTCCTTGTTTTAGCCCCTTAATGCCGAGCGCCAGACAGGGTAACAACAAGTACCATCTTTTAACGTCTTTTGGTATGAAGCAGCCAGGGATCGAACCTCAGACCTTCCGCCTCCGGGCGGACGCTCTACCACTAGACCACGGAGTCCTCTCATGAGTGGTGATGTGAATGAAAATACTTTCATCCATTGCTTCGTACTTGACACTGCCAACTGTAAATCGGCAGTGTGCCAGGTATTTGACTACCCAGGGGCAGACGGGTAGCCTAGTAGTTAAAGTGTTCGCTCTTCACGCCTAAGACTTGGGTTCGATTCCCGACATGGGTACAATGTGTGAAGCCCATGTCTGGTGTCCCCCGCCGTGATATTGCTGGAATATTGCTAAAAGCGGCGTAACCCAACCATACTCACTCACTCATCCTGTCTATCCTGTCAATGAAAAATATGGCTTACACACCACAGATAAGAGTGCATTCCATGCAAGTATCGTGATACGTATTGGATTGAGAACAAGGTATCATGATAGCATAGTTGTCGTATCGCCCAAGCCCTAAGAAATGTGTGGCAAGTCAGGGACATATCTAGGATTGCAGACTAAGTGTCCTTAGCAGGCAAATTGGCATCTTCCCGAGGCAAGAGAGTTCCACCCTTGTCGAACTAGGCTGGAATTCCTGTGCTCGATTGTAGCCTCACCAGTGGCTGTTACGAGTTATGTCCCTTCTAAGCCTCTCCTATGGACCAATCAAATTCCACCTCTCGTATCACTTTCGTTTGCTTCACACAAAATGGTGGCACCCGGTCAGGACGATCTGATCGATAATCAAGACCTATATTTTGATAAAACGAGTCTTACATTGCATCAAATCATGTGAGTACCTTCATTAAAAACATGAAAACTTTTGGAAAATATCTGCTCACAATGATTTGGCGGTGCACATGCTTTGCAAATCCTGCAATCGACCGAAATCTGCACGAAAGTTTACGAACAGGATTTCGATTTCGGTGCACGATTTTTATTGGACTATGCACAGACTCATCAGGCCAGCTAAAATGTAACTCCATAATACCAGCCTAGTTCAGCAAGGGTGGAAACTGGACTTTTATAATCAGTTAACTCCCTTGTCTTGGGAAGATGGCAAAGTGGGGAAAAATCATAATGGGTTCAAAATTGGATTCTTCTATTGTTCTCGTTTTTGTAAATTGTGATGAAATTTGACATACTAGGGGCTGAATATCGGTCTCTGGGCAGGTCGAGATAAATCCCTGTGTTACGTTGATGAGATCAATGTTGTTTCCAGAGGATTGTCAACCTGGGTGCCGTTTTAGAAAGCAATCTTAGCACTAAGGTGATCATAAGTCCCATACCTTAACATTGACTTATGACAGTCATAACGCCAAGGTTGTTTTGTACAGCGGCCCCAAGGACAATAGGGAAACCAACCTGGGTGTGTGACGTAAGTGAACACTTGAACTACTAAACCACCCGTTTTCAACTGTATATCTGTCATGTCACGTCCCTAATGTTTAATGTTGGCAGGAAGTGCAATGTTATTATCAATGTCTTAGGATGTGTCTTAACTATGCTGGGGGCATGGGTGGCCCAGTCGTCTAAGGCGCCGCGATTCGCTGTGCAGAGTTGCGTGCCTTAGGCACGCCAGAAACCTATGATTGTGGGTTCGAATCCCGGTTCGCCCCGATTATGTTTCTAGGTTTGTCAGCACTGTACCCGTGCTCGTGGGTTTCACCGAAGTGGTAAACGTCTGAGACCTGCATCACTTCAGGCTTTCCTCCCACATTAAGCTAACACGCCGTGATATGACTGGAATACTGTTAAAAGCGGCGTTAAACCCAACTCACTCACTTAACTATGCTTGGTCGTCATGATATGGCTGAAATACTGCTGATGTGACGTTAAATATTAACTCACTCACTCACTTACTATGCTTGTCGTAAAAGGCGACTAACGCAATCGGGTGGTCAGGCTAGCTGATTTGGTTGATGCATGTCATCAATCCCAATTGCGTGGATCGATGCTCATGATATCAATCACAGGATTGTCTGGACCAGACTTGATTATTTACAGAACGTCGCATATAGCTGGAATATTGCTGAGTGCGGCGTTAAACAACAAACAAACCAACCAACTTAATTTGGTAATACCCACAGATATAGGTGTGATTCCAGGGATTTATCCTGACCTTAGACAAATGTTAATGGCCGATATTCGAACACAATTTCAACTTGATTATTTAAAGGCAGCCATTATATAGTTGGAATATGGCTGACTCCAAAATGAAACAACAGATGCTTGTCATGAGAAGAGATGAAACATGTCGTTGTTCATGATATCACCCACTGGTTTGATTGATCATAACTTGATTAATTAAAGGCAGCCATTTTATAGCTGGAATATGGCTGACTTCGAAGTTACACAACAGATGCTTGTCATAAGCTTTGGTGAAACATGTAGTTGTTCATAATATCACCCACTGGTTTGATCATGATTTGATTAATAAAATCACCAATTATGTAGCTGGAATATGTCTGACTTCAAAAAACAACAGATACGTGTCAGAAGAGACGATAAAGAATGTTGTTCATGATATCAACCACTGGTTCACTTGATCATGACTTGATTAACATAAGGCAACAATTCCATACGGGTAGCTGGAATATTGCTGGCTGTGAAGTTGATGAATGTTGAAGATCAATGAACCTATTATGCCATAAGGGGTGGTGGGGTGGCCTAGTGGTTAAAGCGTTCACTCGTCACGCTGAAGACCCTGGTTTGATTCCCCACCAGGGCACAAAACGTAAAACCAAACTCACTCACTCACTCACATGGCCCATGAAAATCCGGGGTAGAAAAGGTCTTCAGCAACCCATGCTTGTCGTAAGAGGCGACTATGCTTGTCGTAAGAGGCGACTGACGGCATCGGGTGGTCAGGCTCGCTGACTTGGTTGATGCATGTCTTTGATCCCAATTACATGGTCCCATTACTCATGCTCATGTTGTCAATCACTGGATTGTCTGGTCCAGATTCGATTATTTACAGACCAACGTCATATAGCTGGAATATTGCTGAGTGCGGCGTTAAACAACACTCACTCACTCACTCACTCACTCACTCACTCACTCTCCCACTCTCCCCTACAGGTGATATCCTTGATGTCCAACACCACAGAACTTGGGAGTTCACTTGGGAGAATCCAATCCGCTCTATCCTGCTCCCCTACGCTGCCTATGGACCGGTCCTGTTCCTGTTGCGTCTGCTGAATCTGGCCACCCCGTGTCTGGTGCTGGTGCTGCCGAGGCTGGTCATCTCCATCGCCGGCATCATCGTCGACTGCTGCACCTTCGACCTATGCCGCAAGTACAACAACAACGGCTACACCAGCATGTTGCTCTACTCGACGTCCTACGTGGCCTGGACCTACATGACCCACACGTTCTCCAACTCCATTGAAACCATCCTGTTTGCAGTCTTATTGACTGTGACGAGTGGAGCGTGTCCAATCATGTGCAAACAGAGGCGGGGAGGTCAAAGTTTGTCCCGAGAAACTGCTCTAATTGCCACGATCATGACTGTCGGGACGTTCAACAGACCAACGTTCCTTATATTTGCATTTGTGCCCGTCACTCATTGGTTGTGGAACAGTGTTATTTCTGAAAGAAAATTTTCTGATAGAATCAATTTTGTTGTTAATCAGCTGTCACTCATGTCCATTGTTTGTGTCCTAATTTCAGTTGTGTTTGTAGTTGTGGATACGATTTATTTCCGATACGAATCTGTCCGACATATCCCGAAAGATATGGAAAATTGTGTGGTCAGTGACAAAAAGATTGAGTGTCTTAGGAAAATGTACACTACGTACAAGCCATCGGTAGTTATCTCCCCTTACAACTTCTTAGCGTACAATTCCCAGTCCAGCAACTTGAGTCGCCATGGCAACCATCCTTTCTACTTCCACACACTGGTCAGTCTGCCTTTGTTGTTTGGGCCGATGGTGATCTTCGTCTTATGGCGAATTCTCAAGAACGTGTTGAATGTCATGCTTGGCGGGTCTCTCAAAGTGAACAGCGACTTTCATCTCGATGATGTCTACATTGTGTCCTGTTTCTCCTTCCCGCTTGTCGTGTTTTCATGCATATCGCATCAAGAACCCAGGTTTCTACTGCCGCTGTTTCCATTAGGTGTTGTCATAGCGACAAAAACAATGGCGTCATTCAAGATGAAGAAGTTGATTTTTATGAAGTTCTGCGTGGTCAACTTGCTGGGGCTCCTGGTCTTTGGGTTCCTGCATCAAGGGGGAATTGTGCCGGGGATCTCGCAACTGCAGAAGAAGATCGCCTCAAACAAAGGCGATAGTCACGTCGTTTTCTACCACACCTACATGCCGCCAGAACATCTCTTCCTCCATCCAGAAGAGTCGGAGTCGAAACTGTACATCTACGATCTCGGAGGGGCATCGTTTGAAAAGCTGGAGAAGAAAATGGAAAGTATCAGAACCATTGCTGCGGACAAACCTCAAGATGAAAGGAGTGGAATTTGGGTCGTGGCGCCGAAAACGGTGGTAGCAGACGTGAGAAAGCTGAGCGTCAAGTATGGCACTGTGGACAAATATTGGCATCTGAGTATGGAAAATCCGCCCAGGATGGTAGAATGGTTTAAACGGGAGCTGTCGTTTTCGGAGATTGTAGGTGATTTTAGTCTTGTTGTTGCCGAAGTCAAGTCATGGAAGCTGTTTAAAGATGGTGGCCAGACTAAGAAGAAGAGTTCTGGTTGATCTTTTTGAATTACCGTGATGACATCATTCTCGTCCATCAGAAAACATACTGTTTGTACCACATCTATTTATTATCACTGGAGAGATTATTTGGATATTAGGTGATATATATTTTTTTAGTTCGTTTACGATACCAACCAACACAAAAAACTGAATTAGGAAAAAAGTAAATATCCGTCTCTATTTTACAATTAGGTGAAATGAAAAACACACACAAGATTATATCACTGCTGTGAGTTAGAAATTGTCAATTATACACACAGAAATTGTGATTATTAGTTGAGAAAACAATTGCTCTCGTATCTTTCCATATCATTTTGCAATCACTTCCATGATGATGTGACCTACGAGTTTGTTTTTTTATTCATTACTATCAGTAGTAATCTGGAAGATTTTTTATATATTTTTTCGACCAGCTACATTGAATTTTATTCTAAATGTTTTGTAAACCAAATAAAATGTATTATCTTGTGTTGGAAGAGTTTTGCCTGATGATATCTCATGCAACGCAGAGATCATGTCATACGTCCATTTCGTGAACAATTGTGCTGTTAGGATTGGAAAAGTCTTTATCATTGAAGGATTATTATTGTGACTGAAGGGGCAGTCGGGTAGCCTAGTGGTTAAATCGTTCGAAGAAGACCCGGGTTCGATTCCCCACATGGGTACAATGTGTGAAGCCCATTACTGGTGACCCCTGCCGTGATATTGCTGGAATATTGCTAAAAATGGCGTAAAACCATACTCACTCACTCAGTGTTGTGATTGAACAGTGTTGCTAAGATGTCATGAATAGAATACTGTGAGCATTGTCTCAGTTCCTTACCAGATAAAAAAAACATCTTATTTAATCATGTTTCTCAAATAATATTTTAGATAAGAAATTTTGTTGGTCACACAATTGTTTACAGAATAGATTGGATGTCATTTCCACTAGGGCTGGGACGAGTCCAAATTTACACCCCGGGTGCCCACCCCCTATTACCCGACCCTACCCAGGTACCCGCTGTAGGTCTCAAGAGACAGGTACAAAATGTCCTATTGGGAAATGTTGACCATAGCCCTGGCAAAATGTATTTAGATACATGTTAAAACGATCTGGTCATGCATACACTGAAGTTGACAGAAATTTTATCTTTATTCAAACATATAAAAGTCAGAAGTAATGGCTGCATAGTCGGAATGAAATGTTGAAACGATCTGGTCATGCATACACTGAAGTTGACAGAAATTTTATCTTTACTCAAACATATAAAATTCAGAAGTAATGGCTGCATTATGGCTGCAAATGTGAACATTAGTGACTTGTAGTGTAACATTATAGTTCTAGATAATTTTTGTCATTAAACAATATATCACATGACTAACCACGGGTCCGGGTAGTCCTGTGGGTTCCATGGTCCTTCTCAGTACCCACCCGACCCGAGTACCCGAGTTATGTGTCCCAGCCCCAATTTACATGGTGGATTTGATTGATGTTGAGAATTATATATGAAGGCCATCTGTACTGTGTTATCGTACATGTTTGTCTAATTGTTGATCAGAAAGATGGGGCTTGTATTAGATGTGTTTTGCGTTCTGTTTATTTTCTAGGACATTGGCGGATTGTCATCCAAAACCAATTTTCAAATTTGTTAATTTGTTAACATTACTGCCACCTATCAAAAGTTGCTAAAATCGTGAAAATGTTCTTATGCCATTTGCCTCATGCAACAATGCTAGCTATGGAATCTGAAGTATTATGGGGTGTGGTTGTGTGGCCGGACCTCACGAGGCTTACAGGCAGCTAATGATATATAACATGGATATATTTACATGGTATATAGACATGTTATAAAGACATGATATATTGACATGGTATATAGACATGTTATAAAGACATGATATATAGACATGATACATTGACATGATATTTTTACCATCTTCCTGAGGCAAGGGAGTTACCAAGTCCAGTTTCCACCCTTGCCGAACTAGGCTGGAAATTCTGGGCTCACTCATAGCACCACCGGTGGTTATTACGAGTTATGTCCCTTCTTTGTCCCTCCTATTGACCAATCAGATTCCACCACTCATATCACTTGCAATTGCTTCAAACAAAATGGCGGCACCCAGTCAAGACGATCTGATCGATAATCTGTGTTTGTTTTGTTTGTTGTTTAACGCCGCACTCAGCAATATTCCAGCTAAACGATGGCAGTCTGTAAATAATCAAGTCTGAACTAGACAATCTTGTAACTGACATCATGAGCATTGATCTACGCTATTGGGTTATGATGACATGCATCAACCAAGTCATCAAGCAACAAGCATAGTTACCTCTTACAGCAAGAATGGGTTGCTGAAGACTTATTCTCTACCTGGATCTTCATGGATCGATAATCAATATTTATATTGTGATAAAACAGGTTTTACTTGGTGATCAAATCATGTGAGGACGTTGATTAAAAACATAAAAAGATTTGGAAAATATCTGTTGATGCCGAGTTGGCGGTGCACATGCTTTGCAAATCCTGCAATTGACTAATATCTGCACTGCAGTTTACAAACTGGATGTCAATTACGTTTTGTAATTTTGATTGGACTATGAACAGACTCGTTAGCCCAGCTAAAATATTACTCCATAATTCAAGCCTAGTTCGGCAAGTGTAGAAACTGGACTTTTATGGTCAGTTACATTCCTTGCCTCAGGAAGATGTATATAGACATGATATGTTGACATGATATATAGACACGATATATGGTATTTTATATCCATGACATGCTGGCAGCTGGCAGGGACCAGTCATTAATTACAGAGGGGGTCCGAGGGAGTGCGAGGAGTGCCATACGAACTTGGACACTTTATAAAAAAAAATAAAGTTCTGCAATTTTTTAATGGAGGGTCTTGAAAAAAATTGTACAAGGACATGGGGAGGGTCATGCAAAAATATGACAAACATTAGGGAGGTCATTATTTTCTGTGTTTTAGTGAATTAAAAACCCACCTACCCCTGTAATCAATGACTGGTCCCTTATTTGATCTTTTGTTCATGGCTCTGCTGCCATAGAGACGTATTTCATGAGAGAATGACACTCTCTCATCTCCATGATTTTGTGTTAGTGACGAAACCTCAGTTATATTTGTGAGCCTATTTAGTGATGCAATAGTGGTTAAAGTGTTCGCTGGTCACGCCGAAGACCAGGGTTCGATTCCCTGAATGGGTACAATGTGTGAAGCCCATTTCTGGTGTCCCCCGCCGTGATATTGCTGGAATATTGCTAAAAGTGGCTTAAAACAATACTCACTCACTCATTGTGCATTATGATACATTAGGGGGGAGGGGTCCTCAAGTATATATCTCCATTCTATTTTGAGAAATACTCAACATTTCTCTTGCTGATATCAAGAATAAAAAATGGGAGTTTTGTATTTTGTACTCAAATACAATTTCCTTGCCGTTGTATAGAGCGATCTTAGCGCTAAGGTGATCGTAACTCCCAATTAACATAGACTTACGACAGTCGTAGAGCTACGGTTGTTTTGTACAACGGCACCCTTGTGTGTGCTTGGGGAGGGATGTCCTGACCAGGTTATCAGTTGTGTGGGAGACGGTATGCAACAATGCTTGTTTTAATCATTGAAAACAGGGCGGCTATTTTTAGCAGCCTGTCATCCGGACTCAAAGCTAGGATGATGAATGTGTCCATTGTATTTACCAAAATAGAATGGAGATCTAAAAAATTAAAAATCAGGGATGGAGGTAGGGAAGATATCTTTTATTTCTTGGCAAAAATGAATGAATTAAGACAATGCTGTCATAAGGTCTACTGGTGTCAATGATTGAACATATGCTTTTTTAACATGTTTTTTGAAAGGTTTTATTGTATGAGTTATTTTAAGGAAACACCCTAAACAGTGGCATTTTTTAAATGTTTTTTTTTCTTCTGCCTCTTGGCATATTGACCGTGAAAAGTGATTAAATAAAATAGAAGCCCTCCTTCAATCATATGAATAAATGTTATTATCCATGATGTCAACATCATCATATTTATAAACAGGAGCATTAAAGAGTCTAAATATATTAGGAATTAATGTCATTCAATGGGAAGTATATTTTGTCGAATGACGATGATACGGGTCATATTGCACTTGGATGGTGTCACTGTTCACAGTGTTCACTGTTCATGGGATATTTTATCTCTCATCACAATGCCTCCCACTGCCAAGTACATATGAACGTAGCAAATAGCATGAGCTATGCTCAGTCTTTTCTAATGTTTTATTCCAAATACCAGAGACCATATTCTGTTGCTGTTAGATTCAGTGCCCGGGATAGGTGATATTTAGGCCAGACTGTTTGTTTGGCGAAGGATCCAAAGAAAGATCAGTTTGTAGTCATAAAAGATCAATTAGTAGGTTAATAAAAATATATTGTTTATATATGTCTCAAGCTTTCTAACGGTGTTAGAACCTACACCGAAACGTCGCTCTTAATTGTAATAAAGAAGTTGTTCATCCATAAATTCCTATCCTTACTTATATATGTATATTATTTAATGAACGCTTTTTATAAACTTTAGGGGGCACAGGTGGCCTCGTTGTAAAAGTTGATTTACTTTGTAGTGCAGAGTTGTGTCCCTTTGTAGTGCAGAGTTGTGTCCCTTTGTAGTGCAGAGTTGTGTCCCCTTGAAGTGCAGAGTTGTGTCCCTTTGTCATGCTAGAGTTGTGCGATCCCATGTTTATTTGTTAAGATTGTCTCCATTGCTTTGTGCATGTGGGTCTTACCTAGGGCGGGGACGAGTCCAAGTTTACAACCCAGGTACCCACCCCCTATTACCCGACCCTACCCAGGTACCCGCTGTAGGTCAAAGAGTTGGGTACATTGTGTCCGGTCGGGAATAGTTTGACTGCAGCACTGGCAAAAACTATTTGCTTCACGCATAAAACTATCAGATCATGCATACACTGAAGTTGACGGAAGTTTATCTTTATTCAAACAAAGTCAGAAGGATTGGGTGCATAGTCAGAAAGAAACGTGAACATTAGTGACTTGTAGTATAACCATAGAGTTCTATATAACTTTTGTCATTAGACAATATATCACGTGACTAACAACGGTTCCGGGTAGTCCTGTGGGTACCCGGGTCCTACTCAGTACCCAACTGAAAATGGTCCATGTCTGCTTCTCGGGACATAACGGAAAATAAGTTCAAATGGGCATCAAACTAAACTCACTTATAAACTTCATATTAATAGAATTAATGTATACCACAGTTAAGATAATATGTCACCTAGACCTACAAAGCTCATCACAAGAGGGGATGCTCAACGACCATGACATCATTACCTGATCCATTCTCAGCTCCCTGGGGAGTATGCATATCGGTGGTATACAATGATTTGTACTGGTTATTGGGTATGTATTTTACTCAAGTCATTTGTTTAGACTAGTGAAGAGCAAATCTTACCCTCTGCTGCTGTAGACATTCACAATAATGTCGTGTAACTGGTGCTATTTGAACACAGTTTTGTACCCCTAGTTGATTGTAATAATTCGGAATAGTGTGCTTTTTCATGTTTATTTATTGCATTTAACATTTACATGTAGAACAACTGTCTTACTGGTTTGGGCAATTCATATTGCTATGGATACATGTTTGAGTATTTTTTTTCATTTAGAAAATGTTCGTAAAAGGAGAAATTATTAAAAGATGAAAGAATCATGAAACTACTGTATGTCTAATGTCTCAGACAAAACTGGTTGTCTTGGCACTAAGATAGCTTTGTGGAATTGGTGAAGGAAGGATACCGGTTGTCTTGGCACTAAGATAGCTTTGTAGAATTGGTGAAGGAAGGATACCGGTTGTCTTGGCACTAAGATAGCTTTGTAGAATTGGTGAAGAAAGGATACTGGTTGTCTTGGCACTAAGATAGCTTTGTAGAATTGGTGAAGGAAGGATACTGTTTGTTCTAGCGCTAAGATAGCTTTGTGGAATTGGTGAAGAAAGGATACCAGTTGTCTTAGCGCTGAGATAGCTTTGTGGAATTGGTGAAGGAAGGATACCGGTTATCTTAGC